GTTACAAGTTAGGCTATTAAGGGGAAATTGCTGTCAAGCGGTAATTTATTACTTGACAAAGTAACCATACACACTGCATAGAATACTATTGTTTATTACTTTTTCAAATTATTTTCCCTTAATTTCTTGTTAATTTTAACAGGTCATCTCTTACACAAGTAACGTGTGTCTGTATCGGACTACTTTTTAAAGTAACCTTCCCCAGTATTTCATCCCTGTCAAGTAAGGATTTGTATCACGCGTTCCGTGAGCGATTGGCGGTGAATGGCAGATAATGAGAGAGACGTGTGGTGCGGATGGTTAAAGAGACAGAGGACAAGAAAGCTGTGGGGATCAGAAGACCAGCAAGTATAAGATGGTTGATGGGACGGGTCATTTTGGCACCATGGAGGGTTGCTGAGTGATTTTTGCAGTAGGAAGGATGGATTAGGAGGATGAGTGGGACATCGCTCTGGGGGGTGGGGGTAACTCACGGGAATGTTTCAGGAGGTGTCTTTGGTTTGTGTCAATAAAACTCCCTTCAGATGAGCTCTTGTTTTATGGAGTGGGAACATCCTTCGCACAGCATTAGTTCAAATACATTTCCAATAATTTTTAAAAACTGGAAAAGAAGGTCATGTAATCTTGACATTCACAGTTCGCCCCCATTTGGGATTTGAACTCCACTGTCTCTTAGGCAAACCCCCAGACCTGAACCACACAACACCTCTACAAAAATTCCACTACAAAAGGCTAGAGTCCTGTCAGGGAAGAGTACAAATCAGTTGTGTGTCCTAGGAGGGTAGGGTACCACACCAGCTCTATACCAAATGAGCCTTGTTACACATACACCCATAAAAGCCCAGTACTGGCATTTTAACACACAGACTTTCTATGGTAGAAAAGCATATATTAGCCGATGTTGTTAGTGGCTACAGCTCATTGCCCATCTTGCAATCTGCACTTTCTGACCAATGGCTGACTCCTCACTGTACTGGAAAGGTACTGTCTTCCAAATACAGCGAGATTTCCTGTGAACTGCAGAGAATTCTGTACAGCCAAGTCATTTCCATCTCCAGACTAAATAGTTTAGATTAGGGAGGCTGTGGAAAGTCAGAGGGAGAAGAGAAGCACAATCACAGCAGCCAGTCAGTCAGTCAGCCACCCACCTTGAGCTAACATCTTAGGGGACTCCCAGTCACAGCTGGGGACTGGAAGAAACCAGAGCTGAGTGGGTCAGAACCAAGGTATTTTGAGGTCATGGCTCTTAACAGATACAGCTAACCAAATGTGAGAAAAAGAGCAGACTGATCAATGGATCAGGGACTGAGGCCAAAAGGTATTAGAGGAGCCAGTAGGGGGCACTCACCCTGTTAATGCCCCAGTATAGTGACGTTGACTGTATACAGTAAAAAGTCGCTCTTTCAGATAAGATGTAATTCAGAGGCCCTGACACTCTGTGGTCATTAAAAATCCCAGGGTGTTACCCCGGCACCCTGGCCAAATTTCCCACTGACCTCCTAATAACCCCCATCGATGAATTGGCTTGATTACTCTGTTCTCTTCCCCACTGATAGCTGGTGTGTGGTGAGTGTACTGGTGCACTATGGCTGCCGTCACATCATCCAGGTGGGGCGGCACACTGGTGGTGGTGGAGGGGAGTCCCCATTCCCCGTAAAGCGCTTTGAGTTAATTATTATAATGAAGAGGTGCCACCACAAACTATTAAAGCATGACAGGTAGCGACCAGCTCTTAACGAGGTGATAGTGAGTGAACTGGGAAATTCCTGACAACACTGAAGCAGAGCAGCCTGACAACAAACTGGAAGGGATCAGCATACACCACCTGACATAGACGATGAGTTCATAAGAGCCTTCCAGAAGACGAATGTAGAATCAGCAGGCTCTGCAGGTTAGAGGCATTAGGTTCATTCCCGCTCCAACAGCATAGTGCTGAGAGCTTCTTAGAGATGAGACATATTTGATTGGAAATCTATGCAGCCCAAAGAGACAAAACAAAGGAGCTGGGAGTTATTTTCAGGAAAGCTCTGCACCATCTCCTAGCATAGAGGGGGAAGTGTTTTTTCTGCCTTCGACTAGTTGCACTTACATTTTGAACTTCGTAATTCGTCAAAGGGCCATGCCTGCCTCCCCTGTTGTTCCAAGGACGACCGAAGCCGGACATCTTTACTGACCAGCGCACGTTTTTCTGCTCATCTGCCTTGCAGCCTCCTTGCTTGTGAGGAGGAAGCCATCAGGATTAGGAGGATGAGCGGTGAGGAGAGAGAGCGGAGAAACTAAACAAACAGGCTCCCAAGGAACTCTGCTCATCCGCAGGCAGAGGGCACAGAGCTTTTATTGGAAGCGAAAGAAAAAGCAAACAGAAGACGGTCTGTCAGCAGCAGAAGAATCAGGGCACAAAGTCCAGTTACTTGCAAGGTATTCACATCAACTCTCATTAAAAGCAGATTTATTATTTAAAACACCATATGGTCAAGGAGCACAGCCAGAAACACTGAGACCAAGATAAATATTTCTGTTTTGAGACTTTTTAGAAGGATTTACAAGAAATGCAGTGCCTGAATGCAATTGTCAACGCTCCCTGTAAAACGAATGATGTTAGTGTCTCAAGCACTAAAGAAGGCAGACACTCTTAAGACGGACATGGCTGATATCAAAACCCATTAAGGCCCCCTCAAGCACATCACAACCTAATTAATTTACTACTTGGCATTGCTTCAGGACTTCTCCTACCTCCTGCTCGGCCCACTCTGGAGTGCAGGCTCTCGGTGTGCCTGCTTGTGCTGGCTGGGCCGGGGGAGGGGCAGAGGCAGGGGTTAGGACAGGAGAAAGATAAATAATCACACAATCTCTGCTGCGGGGCAGGGGTAGCTGAACAGCCTCCCAGCCCTACACACACTCTCCGCACACAAAGACCGCTCATTAACACCCTCTGTTTAAACAGGGGTCTGGTCCAGGCGGTGGCATGGGGACTTTAATGTCTCTCCATGAATGCACACTACCTTACCAGGGGAAAAACAGATGAGCAGAGGTGCTCAGATGAAAACTTTCTCCTGACACTATTCCTCAGCTCCTTGAATGCCAGTCTCTTGGTAGAGGACAACATTAATGTACGCGTTTATTAGGTATTGTGCTGGAACTTGATGCTCGTCGCCATTCAAACATTAAAGTGTCGACTTGCAACAGATCAGACAAGCCGGAAAATTAACCTTTTGATTTCTCCACAATAAAAATCTCTCCTTCTAAGCGCCTGTCTCCAAAATGCACTTGTGAATATTGTGAAAGTGTCTTCTGTGGTGGTGGTGGTATTTTCATTTAATAACATCTCTAACCTGCTTAGGACTGATCAAACCAACTTGTCTACTCACTCAATGCAAAATTGGTAAAAACAAGGAGTGTTTAGAAATGAAAGGTTCAAACTGTAAAACATGCTGGCTTGTGGCTATGCAGGAGCAAGGTTAGCTCCCCCTGGTCTGTTTTAATATCTTGGGGACAGCCAAGTGATTCAACCACTCAGAGCACAGCTTGGACCCTATATTGCAGACACCTTTGGCTCGAGTGTGGGCTGTCATTAATGGACTGAGACCAGGATTTCTCAAGCTGCAGCACAGAACTGGCGCCAGGGCTGGGTCTTATATCAGGGTGTCCTTGTCTCACAGTACAGCAGCAAGCTCCAGTATGTGCTTGGTGCCTGTAAACATGCAGTGCTGTCAGGGAGAACCACATAACTCCACTACTAATCAGGGATAATTCCTGTAAAGCACTGTAAGATGTAAAACAAAGAAGAAATGGCTGAAAAATACTCTTATTCTTCCTTCTGCTGGTACAAGGTATTAAGAAGCATGCCCAATTAACAGTCACAATTCCAAAATGTTCATTTCACATCCATTTTGCAACAAAGACTTTGCTTACATAACTGTCTGAAGGCTCATCACACATTGAATACGTATTGGACATTTCACTCCACTGACCAAAATATCCCCACTGGTTTGACTTTATTTACCTAAAAGATTACTTAGTTGATTCCACTGAGGACCAAAATATCCCACCTATCCAATTTGCTGGTCCTGGAAGTTTTAGGGATCTTGTTTACAGCAGCACAGAGGTTGTACTGACAGACAAGAAGACACAAATACTAGGGGAGATGCTGTGTGTCAGTGCCTGGTTAATGAGGTCATGGCATGTCTGTGGACTGCTCAACGAGCAGCCCATGTGCTTAGTCCCAATGCGGGACGGACACTGTCAGCAGCACAGCACACGGACTGAAATAGCCTAGAATGAATGAGGTGCTGATAAGCATTAACAGGATGAAGGCAGAGGAGTCTGTCCCACACAAGGGCAGCATGCAGGTGGTTTGCTGTGGTCTTTTGGCAGCTGAGGAAGACCTGAAAGACATTCCAGGGTGCAATATCATAACCCGCAAACTAACCATGCTGATTCCCCCTGGGGGTCCAGATGAACGATTCTGTATACAGCAGCCCAGACAGGGGAAGAGCACAAGAGCCCTCTGATCCACACCACTGTGGATCTACGGTTTGTCACAGTCTTAGATCCAACTACCATACACACTTCAAGAGCTATCAGTACAGATACAGGAAAAAAGAACTTTAAAATCTCAAACATTCTGGTCTTCTGCTCGTTTGGACCACACGCATAACAAATCCTGTAGGGATTCTTGGTTGTATGAAATCAGAAAAGATAACTTTGAACAGCCTCACTCTCATTTCATTTACAGTTAAAATGACTTGAGTCCGCTATCAATTCTTGGATGTCAGGAATTTGATAAAATTTTCATATCGAGTAACTTTATCCTGCTTTCAACAGAACTTTGAACTCACAAGAATTAAAATAAAGGTGACCTGCTGGCAAAACCAATATCTTTGATATGGCATAGAACTCTGTTTAAACCTTTTACTTTAACAGGAAAAGAAGGCCATGTATTAAAAAAAAAACATTCTCGGATGCTTGTGTCACTACAGAATAAAGAGAAAGACAATAGATCATCTTCCAACTCAAGCAGACAGGTCTTAAAAAAGCCACTGCCTGCCAGTTTTATTAACAGCTGACAAGATATTACAGGGCAGTCAGACAATCAATATGACCAGTTCCATTCATGATTGGCTATCAAAAGGGTGCGTTAAGCCCTAGGCATATACACTTGTCCCTGAAACTGTGTCCAGACAAAAGACTTCAGATCAAGGACATTAGTAAAACCTTCAGATACATTGGTTACAAACAAACCCAAAGGCCATTTTATCAGTGCAGATGCAGAGATTGAATGTAACTCAAGCCACTAGATGACTCCATCGTATGGTGTAACTGCAAGATAAACATTTGACTTGTGCCATTTTTGGCCAACTCCTTTCACAAGTCAACTGTGAAACAACAGGAAAGCAATAAGAGGAATTTTGGTACTGCAATCTGAGGACTAGGGAAATAAAAGCTTTCATTTATCAACAAAAGCACAACCTTTCACTCTTTGGTTTCTAGCCACAGAGCAGTACAGTTAAGAACATTAGGACACTTGTTTGGATATGAAAGATGCTGGTATAAAGAGGTTAACTCAAACTCAAAGCAACTGTACAGTGGTAAGGTTTAAGGAAAATAAAGATAAAGCTAACAGGTATATTATTATTTCTGTAATTCCTGTAACAAACCTTAAAGATTTAGAAGAACTTCTAAAATACTAGTTTTTCCTAATTTCGGACAGGTGAAGTTTAATGTTACTTTGCTTCAAGCCTTTGAACTTTCACTGAACAATGATAGGCAAGTCACTTCATTTTACCCACTAAAGGGGAAGGCACAGGTTGGACTAAGGAACTGAATACATTGAAAGACATTGTGAAGACTCTCTCCAAGCTTTAGTCCAGCACCTCGTGCTGGGAGAGCAGAGATTAAAGCAGCAGCATTCTCAGCATGTCTCTCATCCAGACCAGCACAAAGTACTACAGAGCCAAAAGAGAACAAAAATCCCTAGTGTCTCACTCAGCTGCCCAGAATAACAGGTAGACAATCATGTTTGCCAGGAGCAATCTCCTTACAACGGATGTTTGCATTGTTAAGCCACTTGGAAGGGTAAAAATAAAAATGGATTAAAAAATAATCTTAAAAGAAGGGGCACTGGACTGCTATTGTCAGGTACAGAATCCCCAGATGGCCCCAGATGGTACACCTCTCCAGGCTCAGGGTTTCCATTCAATCCTTTTTTCTAAGACTGGAAGTGCACAGGGATCTCATAACGGAAGTCGAAGAGAGTGACGGCCTAATCTGACTCAGTGGGGTATATGAAATTAATGCAATCTCATTTGTACAGTACTGTGATAAACTGTGCACTACTGAGGCAAAACAGTGGCACCCACACCACTAAAGGAAAGCCCATGGACCTTGCGGACAGCAGCTATCTGAAAAGCCAGCCTTTCATGCAGGCAACACAAGGCCGTATCTTCCAGCCTTAGTAAGGCTGCTCTCCGGAAACCAGCCAGGCTTATCTGACTTGCTATTTTAATGAGGACTTGAGGCTACAGGGGTCTTGCAAGCACAGCTCAGATCTCTGGTGAAATCCTTGCCCAGCTCTCCCACACACTTTGGTTCTTCAGCCTAGGACGTTTTAGCAAAAAGTGCTGCATCAAAGTGTCAGTGTTACAGGGAACGCTACAAGATACAGAAAGCCTCTTCGAAGCCATGCTCTGTTCCTATGTCTGTCACTACCCCTCAACAACTAAACAGCAGCAGTCGTCTGGATGGGGTGAAGTGTGGGACTGTTTCCCTGATGCACAAAGAAACCTGAAAAAGTCTTCATTCCCAACTACACGTTAGGCTCATCTTAACTTAAAGACAGCGAAACGTCTTGTATTATACTGACATTGCATGGTACACAAGTCAACTGTGCCCCCTGCTGGCTTATTGCTTTCTTGTCAATGGCTTCCTGCTCCTACCGAAGAGCTCCATCCAGACTGTAAACCGAAAAGAACGACAGTGCCCCCTTATGGGATCATCGGAAAATACATTCTTTAAAACAAAGATTAAAGCAACTCGCTAATTAGGAGGAGCAAAACTGTTTTGATGATGCACCAAACTACATTGTTCGCCACTCGGAATTTTTCCTATCTTGTAAGCATCACACCTTTGCTTGCTCAACCATGTATGGAACCTCAGAGCTCATATTCATCGTGCTTGACGGAGGTCAGAGGGAGAATTTGAATTCTATGTGCGTTTTCATGGTGTTCCATCCGGTCCTCAGTGCTGCCCCGTTCAGCGCGTTGCCCTGCGGGGGCACAAACGCGGCGAGGACTGCTTCCTTCCTTGGAGGAGTCGGCGGGTGCGCGCGGGCTACTTGTCGCCGTCCCGGTGCGATTTCCGCTTCTCGTGCTGGTGCTTGGTGATGAAGTACTTGAAGAACTCGTAGACGGACCAGCTGATGGCGGTGGAAGGCATCTGGTAGATGACCCGGGCCTGCACCCCCTTGAAGTACGCGGGGATCCCGCCCAGCCTGTAGACCGTCCGGAAGGCGTGGGCCAGGCCCGAGATGTGTCCGCTCACGTTGAGGGAGTGCAGCGCCAGGGACTCCTGCGTGTTCAGGAGCGTCTTGCACACGTCCAATGGGGTGGTGGCGGCCGCCGCCAGAGCCCCCGCAAGCGCCCCCGACACCATGTGGGAGGTGGGGTTGTAACGTCTGTGGGGGTTCAGGGTCTCCTGCAGGTACTCGTACGCCATGAAGTGCAGGGCCTGGAAGGGGATGTTCATGGTGAGCTGCGTGGTGTAGCTGCGGTAGAACGCTGCCGCACCCTCCTTCTGCCACACTGCTCTCATACAGTCTAAAACGCTGCGGTACGGGGAGTTGTACATCTGCATCCTCTGCTTCACCACTGGGCGTGGGCCACCGGCAGGGGAGGCGGGAGAGGCCGCGGCCGTTCGTTTCCATCGGAGAGGTCCCGGGGGAAGGAGCAGCACATGGAAGGAGGAAGGAAAGGGAATTTAGCACAAGGGCAGGAGTGAAGCATCCTGCTTATGTCAAACAAAACTGATCGCGCAGCGTGTGAAGCATCCGGCCCATGTGGATCATATGACACTTAAACCACCAAAGCTTCAATGTCCTGGGATTCAATTAACAGCGGTGGTTGCCTGGACTTTACTGGAACTCATCTGACCCAATTAAATTCACACAGGAACAGGCCAATTGAGGAAAGGCCAAGGGTCTGGGCACTCAACACTAGGGGAGCTTCAAAGCTGCTGCACAGGTGTCTTCCCAGCCCTCAGAAGCGAAGCCTTCACACACCTGGGCGCACTGGCCTTGACTTGGCGATGCTACCCTACGCACTCCTGATGACCCCTTCCCAGCTGCCCCTGCTGGGGCACCAGGGGACTACTAATTAAGCCCTCACAGCACCGGGCTGCAATTCGTTATTGTACGGCTAATCCATCACTCATCTTGAGCACAGAAGAGGCAGTGCACCCAGCCACTCTCTCTGGGTACGTTCACACCTGCAGAGGGCCATGGGCTTCCTGAGCTGCCAGCAATCATCAAAGAACTTCCACAACCCCCATGGAGAGGCAGTTCCACATCCCTGCTACTTCACACATCATTAAGAAATGAATTAAAACCAAGAATGAGACCAGTTTTTAGACCATAAAGAATTTAGAAAAAATGCAGTAGATTCCAATGATGTATTTATCATCTTAAGAAAATGTATTAAGCATTAAAATGTTGAGAATTTTGCTAGGCGGACATAAAAGTGAATGTTCATGGATAAGGTGATCTCTTTCTTGCAGCTGTAAAAAGTGATCTTGAAGGAGATAAACTACATCTGAACAAAGACACAGTGAATGCCAAATGTATCGGCGCTCTTCTCAGGAACCACAACTAACACCCAATGAGCACTATGAATAGAATGTGAACATAATACGTACAGACCTACAATACTGCATTTAACAGGTCACGTTTATTTGCTCATATTTGTTTATCCATAAACAGTCCAAGACAATGTCACGACAGGGTAAAAAAAATAAGAATATTTTTTATATTTTTATATATAGTTAAGATATTTCACTTGATTAGCATTATCTTTTTATTTAATTAATTACGATATTTACATGTATTACTATAAAGGAATTGAGCAAAACTGCCCCAAACTCTGGTAAAAGAAACTGAACTACAGCAAGATAAAAAATGGAGTATCAGAAATATAAAAGTGTACCTTCAGCTGGGTTCATGGCTGCATCGTGAAGCAATGTGGCGACGCACCCTGCAGCACCTGTAAAACAAACTCTCAGGCGTGAGAATGGCAGGCGAGACGACAGTGGCGGCAGAACTGGGGGCGAGACGCTCCTTTGGCGGCTCCAGGCAGCCGGAACGATTCACGTTCCACAGGCTGGGAGAGCGGCCAGCTTCGCTTAGGATCGGGAAAGGCTGCCCTGGCCCTCTCCTGCCCTCCCCCGCCCCTGGCGAGACACAGCCGAGTGCGACTCCTGCAGGGGAATACTGGTCAGCTATTGCACTGCAAGGCCCAACAGCACATTTACCAGTCAAACGAAGCCACCTGAAAGACCCCAGGACAACGCAGCTTGTCTTCCCATGAGGCTACTGGGAATCGGTTACTGAACTAAGATGACAATTTAAATGTTTTTTTTTCTAACAGCAGCTTTATTTCCTTAGAGCCCAATGTTGTCAGGTATCAGAAGCTAAGCACAGCTAGGCCTGGTCAGTGACAGGATGGAAAGCTTCCAGGGAAACCCAGGCTGTTGTACACTACTGGATCAGTAGGTGGCACTCTGTGCTCTGCTCCTACATGTCCAAATTAATGACCCAGGATGGTCATGGAAGGAGGTGCTAAACCAACGTTCTGACTGACCAGTTATTAAAGACACAAAGCTCAATATACTAGTGGTGTTAAGCCTGGTGTGCCTGTTAAGTCTCACTCCAAAAAAGCACATATGGACCTCCCTAAATTTTTCCTTTAAATCAACTGGTAGAGGAATTTTTCCGCTGCTTTCAGTCCTGTGCAGTGGGGTTACTGGTACAAAACAGCTGCTGCCTGTCACCCAAGTGGGTGCAGCTATGCTTTAATGGAGGATGAAATTAGTTCTCTCCTGTACGTGAATTTATTTTTGAGATCTAAGTTCTGGGAAAAATGCAAGCATATATAAAACGAAAAAGTCAACTCAAGTGAAAAATACACCTCGTAAAAACGACCAAAGTAAATGTCAAATGTCAAAAACAAAAAATAAATTTCTGTGGTCTCAGAGCGCACCAGTGCCCCTGGTGGACAACACAAGAAAGTCCATCCTGTTCCAGGGAGCTGCCGGCAAGCACACTTAATCTAGAAAGCATGCAGGAGCTGACTTACCCAGCCTCCCCGACCTGGAACAAGAGAAGAGAAGAAGAGAAGAAAAGGAATGGACCATGCAGCTCCAGTGTCGCCATGGTTACAGCACTCAGGAAAGCAAACCTCACGGATCATGACAACCCCATCCCCATGCAAAGACATCCGTCATCGTTGTTCTCCCCCAAGTCACACCGAATCTTTCAACATCCCCCCCTGCCGTTTGCTATGACCCTGCCTTAGTGGAAGTGGAGATTTAATCCAGATTTCCCTAAAAGCATGAACTTGGTGCACTAAAAACTGTTGCACTCTGCTGTGAAGTCTTTCCTCTCAGCTTCAAAGGGAAACAGGAACAGGACAGATTCCTATCTCAACAACCGAGAAACCTTCCACCTCAGCGCGCTTCAACTTACATTACACTCGCACAGTTTTACAGGAGGGCAGATCCGCTGTCTTAAACTCCATAGTGACTGTTATAAAGGTACATTTCTGCTAACTGAAAAGGAAAGTATTCATAAAATGATGTTTTTCTGAATTTACAATAGCCAATCATGCCTGTTGTTGCCACCCGATTTGGGATGGCCTATTTGCTTTGAATGTTTTGGCTACCAGCTGTGAACCCTGCAGCCACACACGGGAGCTTGAGAACGCGCAGTCAAGCTCCTCCGGCCATCCCGTCTTCGTGCGAGTCGCCGTAACGCGGCCCAGGCAGGACAGCCCCGTACAGGAGGGGCATCCCTCCTTGAATCCACAGGGGCTGCAGTGTCGCCAAGAGAGCCCTGGCAGCTGTCCCCACACCACCCTCAGCGGTGACACTGTCGGCAGGCTCCAGCATTCCTGGGCTGTAACCTGTGATCTCAGAGTTCCATCTACACTTCCAGACGCCCCACGTTTAAATACTGGAAACCCCAGCTGTCCCACGTAGTTTTCCTTCAAGGTCTCTGCTGAACCAACACTTTTCTATCGCTCTGCTATGCACAGTCTGCGTAGAGCCTTCGCAGTTGGCTTTTTACTGGCCACTTACTGTAGATACTTTTCACCTCGACCTCTTGAGCTTTTAACACTCACACTGCTGTGTCTAACTCAATACATCACTGCTGTAAGGATAAGAAAGGGAATAATAGGGATTCTGATATGTGTTTTAAACCTCTATTTAATATTACATAAATATAATAAATAGTATATTTATAGTATATAATGCAAAATATTAAATACACCTAAAAGTGCACCTGAGAACGCATAAAAAGCAGAGAATTCTTTATTGAATGAATGCTCTCTCGCTACTGTACACACGGTAGAACCTAATTGTAAGATTTAGAATTCTAACGTTCTGTTCAGAAAAGGTTTTAAGGGAAACTTATTCAGACCTGGATTCAGATGTATAAATATTTGTAAAAGAAGTAGGTGATATGGGTGAACTCTTTGAAATCAATACTGCACACTGAACTGGATAAATAATTAACTGGAATTCAATAGCGTGGTGCAATGCCTAGGCATAAGGGACACAGGCCCATAGAAGAGTCTAGTTCACAGACAAACACTGGTAGAACAACCTGCTGAGTTTAAAAAAATCATTTTTAAGCAGTTTATGAAGTTTGTTTTGAATACCTACTACAGGTTAAAAAAAACTAAGATGAACTACTTAAAAAAACTGGCATGTTCATGCTCTTAAAGTAAACGTAGTTCTCAGGGTACTAAAAGTCCTTGAAAAACCTCTTATTTTACAGTGTTTTCATACTATTTTTCTCTGAGTAGCATTCGCATTTTAAGGAGACAAACGCAAGCTATCTAAAAAGTGATTTATAAAAAGCACCAAGTTCGATTCAGATGGCGCGCCATCAACAGAATGGCAGCTGTGACTGGGAAACAGCTAGAGCTGGCTAGACAAGCTTTCTAGGTGTGGTGTCAGATAATTACAATTAATGGAAGGAAATACCTTGTAACATTCAGAAAGACACTCTGTTCCATCAGGTACCCTCAGGAAATAAGATTCCATGGTGTGACTAAGAATCACATTTGCAAACACTGATGTTCACCTAAACAGCAGACATTTTTTTCCAGAAATTAAACCCAGCCCTACGTTTTAAGTCACCTCCAACATACAGACGTATTTAGAAACAATGTATACAAGATACTGTAACACCAGCTATAAAAGGTTAAGGTTTCAAATAACTCAGTAGGATGAATGTAAGAGCTCAGCTCTGCTTGACCTTCAAAAAGGCAGAAACGGTGCTCAATCAACTTAGAAGTGAACCTGTAAATAACTGATTTTACTAGGTGCAATTAAGTATTACTGTTGCAAAATAAGTTCAAAGGGACATTACATTTTAAAATTTTTAAACACTTCTCATTCAAGATCTACAGCACATTAAAATATCACTCATTTTAAAATTTTGAAATATGAAGCATTCTCACAATGATGGGACTAGAATATTAGGAGATTCATTAAGGCATCGTGTTTCTTATCACCCGTAGTGCTGTAATATGGGCCAGAATAATTCTGAGGGCTCTTATTCGGCGTATTGTAGCTGGATTTTATTTGAATCCCTGACCGTGGTCCCTAATTGAAGCTACATCCCTATAAGAATGTGCCAACTCGGACGCACCCTGATGCCTGCATTTCCCTGCCGTGAGCATGTTAGCGTGTGCCTGCATGTGAGGGGTCTGTTTTTCAGGACTGGGAGAGGAAGGACTGTGGTACCGTTCGCCAAATGGCTGTTAGCCCCTGGCTGGATGACATCGCTCAGTGTCTTTTTTAGCTTCTCGTAACAGGCGAAGTAGAGGGCGTGGGCGGGGCCGGCCCCCGTGGCCGTGATGTTTAACCCTCGCATCGGCCGCCAGATCCCTTCCGTCCTCACTATCCGCCACAGGGCGTCCATCACGTTGCGGTAGCGCGCCGCCGGCTCGGGCTGCAGGCTCTGCATCCGCGTCTGTGGGAAGAGAGGGGTCGCCGGGTTACTGGGGATCGCGAGACACGGGGCCAGCAGGCTCCACATCCACACCGAGCGGGCGGCCATCTGCAACAACAAGGCGCCGTCTTTCCCAGGCTGAGAAAACCCTGGAAATCACACCTGGGTCGTGCTGGAAAGGCCATCACAGGTCTAGGCGGTTTCAGGTAGACTTACACGGTTGCTTCTTGCATTGCAATTTCACCGGTGAGGCCCCCCTTGAGCACTTTGACAAGGATCCCTTCGACAGGTTCATCACTCGCTCATGTGAATAAACATTACCGCTTTATTAACAACCAGCTTAACGAAAGCAGAGCTTCGTTTGCATGAAACAGGAGGCCTGGTGGCATTTAAACATCAGAGAACACTCCTGTGCAGAACAGTTTCGGGCAAGAGCATTGTTCTTTTTGTTAAGCAAATGGTGTATAATTATCTGACCAACCCGTTTATAGTTCAGTTATTTAAAGCATTCCTGTTTTGCTAAGCCTCACAGTATAAAACTTACTTCTCTTCAAATTTTAGGGGTGCCAGAAAACTAAATTAGTAAACATTTTCATCAAGACTTTTTAAAGCTTATCAAACATGAATGTTTACTTGTCCTAACTGTTAAAACAAATTACCACTAACATTTAGGCAATTAGAAAGAAACATCAAATATAAATTGCTATTAAAAAGAGCTGGTAATTTAACACTGCCTGCTCTGCTGTAGGAGAACATTCCGTATGGTGATTTCAGATTAAAATTGTTATTACCGTCGAGAATCTGTTGCACTCTGGACCTGCAAATTCACCTTATAAGCTCCAGACCTTTTTAGAAATCAATCAAAGGATCCCTTAAAAAGAACCACACCAAAAAACCCCTGGGAAATGAAAAGGTCTAACAGCACCGCAATGCCACAGTGCAGACTTGCAGGAGTTAATCTGAGGGTCCTTTTTAAAGACAAACGGAATTTGATGATAATTTACCCAATGAAGTATTAACCTTTGTTCAAATGGATACTTACCAAAAGGGTTTCTGGTTGAAAAAAATAAAATCAAGACCTTATCATTTAATTTTTCATTCACCTAGCAACCTGTACAGGTCAGCACCCCCTCAGGCTTAGAGATAAATTCAACGTGTTGAACGGAGGAGGTAAATGCTGCCTAGCTGACACGGCTGCCTCCTCAGCAGCCACAGATGGGGGGGTATGTGGCTCGTAGAGAGCTTCAATTCGGCTCTCTCCCGCGAGAAAATGCCGTGTCTGAGCTGGGGCTCAAGCCCGCAGCTGTGGCGGACATTAATGAACACCAGCATTGTCTGAGCAGCACTCCTCGCTGCCGGAGACAGCTGACTCCAGCTCCTGGACCCCGGCCCGCCTCCCGCGCGCTGGACTGGCACAACAAAACCAGTGCCCCAATGGGAACCTGCTCCGACGCTCGCAAAACACCCTCGCAAGGATGCCCCTCAGGTCCGCCCGCGGTGCCACTTCACACTCGGGGCGAAGTTCAAAACCCCTTCGAAAAGTGGTGTTGCTTGGGGGTGGAGGGGCACTCTTAGTGGACAGGTGGCATAATAATGTTTCAACGAAAAACAAAACTTTCGGGAAGAACCTGCCAAAATGTATGTTTTAGTCATCAGCCCATGAACCACCGCCCCCATCCTGTTAACAAAAATGTGGATACCGTCTCCACAAATAAGAGTAAAACGAAGACTTCCACAGAGACGTCAGCCGGCTTGAATAACAGTGGACTGAATGTGCTCTGCTAGCCCGTTAAAAAAACATAGATTTCAGCAGCTCTGTAACATTCCCCATGAGCATTCTGCTTACACAGTATCTAGGAACAAACCACGGACAGAACAAAACATCTGAAAAGCGGCACAGTGATAAAATATACAGAAGCTACTAACTTGAAAGATCTCAATGAACAGAATGAACCCAAACATACCAAGTAGCGAGTCCTTTGGTGTGCAGCTTCTATTTTAAGCAAAACTGGAGGGTTTATCTGGCAGTCTGATCACACTGTTTAGCCCAGGAGTTTCACCTCCAGTCCACAGGGGGTCAAAATTCAGCAGGTTTTCTTCACCTCCTCAGCTCACTGCTTCCCAACCCTCGCTCTGGGTTTTGCTCCAGCTTCATTCTTATCCACAGGCTAATTCACTTTTCTCTCTGGGGCTTATTTGTAAATCGGCTTCCAGTTATTAAAAACGGTCAAATGGGATGTGTGATTGGTATAAGGATCTGCGCTTGTGACTGGAAGGTTGCCGGTTCAAATCCCGCAGCTGGCAGAGGAATCCTACTCCGTTGGGCCCCTGAGCAAGGCCCTTAACCCTAACTGCTCCAGGGGCGCCGTACAATGGCTGACCCTGTGCTCTGACCCCAAGCTTCTCTCCCTGTCTGTGTGTCTGTGTCTCCATGGAGAAAAGCTGGGGTATGGGAAAAGACGAATTCCTAATGCAAGAAATTGTATAGGGCTAATAAAGAAACACTATCATTATTATTATTTCTGAGTCTCAGGACTGTACTTATTCAGGTGTGCTGTCTGAAATGGAAAACCCACTCATCATGGGAGTGTCTGACACAGTGTCAGTCCCACCAGTGTCCGTTCTTCATCAATTCATCATTAAGTAAGAACTGTTTAGTCAGAAATAACAGCAACCACGCTGAGGTGGAAAGTTCTGTGCTCACTTGTAAACATTAGCCCTGTAGGGTATTTTTTGACACTCAGAACTGACTGAAGAAACAGGTTAAATAAAAGTCTAAACCAGCAGGAAGGTCAATTAACTCATAATAAAATAATAATAATTGCTTACACTTGTATACCACTATTCTGGACACTTATTAGTGGGCAGGAGAAGAGAGTGATTTAGCCAATTCAGAGATGGGGTTTATTAGGGGGCCATGATTGGTCAGGACCTCAGTTTTACGTCTCACATGAAGGACAGCACTTTTTTACAGTCTAGCGTCCCCATCACTATACTGGGGCATTAGGACCCACACAGGCCATGGGGTGAGCGCCCCCTACTGGCCCCACTAACACCTCTTCCAGCAGCAACCTTAGCTTTCCAAGGAGGTCTCTCATCCAGGTACTGACCAGGCTCACACCTGCTTAGCTTCCGTGAGTTGCCAGTTGTGAGTTGCAGGGTGATATAGCTGCTGGCTATTCTATAAGAACTGAAGATCTAGACATCAGTTAGAACAAAAACCAGCAGACACAGTGTTCCTCCAGGACCAGGGCTGGGAACCAATGTCTTAAGCAATAAAGAGCTGCTCACCTGCGGTAAGCATTAGAATGACCCACTTAACGTTAACTGCACTAGATCTCCAGTCCTGAGCTGCTGACAATTTAAAGAGACACAGATATCCAGCAAGATTCCAGACTGCCTGGTTTAGAGTTAGCCTATCGAAGCCTGATGTTGCATATTTCTGTGAAGCGTTTCATTTGTACTTGTTTATTTCCTGAATTCAAAAGCCAAGAACACCTGCTAATATCATATAACGCATGTCTAGCAAGACAAAAATTCTTAACAGTATTTGAACTGTTTTGTCCAAATGTTTTTAATTTCCTTTACATTAAAAATTGATTGTTCCCTATATTTGGGGTATAATAATAAGGCCTAATCAAATGGTTCATTTTAACCTCCACTTGCCAGTGCATTACATAAGAGCTCAGCGTCAATCTTTCCTTCTGCCAAATAGCAGGAACCTGCTAGAATAGGTTTATGATTCCACACTTCCTGTACAGCAAATCACAGAGCATTCTGATGCTAATCCACCTCAACTTCCCTTTTCATATTTACTGTAAACATGGTGTACCTCTGTTTGCATAATCCTGGTTAATTTGTTTTACATTGTAAGTGCAAATTAAGCTGCATTTTCCCACAGCGGTAATTTAGATGAATCCTTCTTCAACTAGCTCAATTATCTGTAAAGCCCTGCATAGCAGGCAGTCCAAAAGAACAAGTTTCAAACTAACACTGAAGGTAGATATGATTTGTTGTTAATATTTTCATACTCAGATTAATTTTCCACAGTACATGGCTGTAAATATGGGATTTATTACACCTGTTCCACAGAACAAAGTTATAGAATATATGCTTAACAATTCACAGAAGACTGCATTTCTGCTAAATAAAAGTAATGTCTAGAAAATGTCTATATGCAATTTTTGTAGCCAGTTCATAGTTCCTGTATTCTGAGTCTTCACTACACAGTTTGTGTTTGCAGTGGCGCCTAATAAGTATTCCGTGACAGCTGCTGTCTCACGCAGACTTTTCAGGAAAGTATCTGGCATGTATGAGGGGCAAATAACTTAAGGAGTATTATGTTTTCTTACTACGCGATCTAACTCCACAAAATGACCCAAAAGGTGTTTTCGCATTGTTAACCAGAGTGGATAAGATTAATTACACTGCTCACGTTATTAGCCCAATGCATTTTGTTATTTTATTTTTTAAAAAAATCAGCTGTCTTTCTTTCTGACCGATATCCCAATTCATGTACTCGGTAAACCACTACAAAGTCATGAGCATTCCTTAAAACATTTGGGATGTCACTTCACCACAAACACCAAACAAACCTTTGTCGTCAGAGAAAACAGATTCTAAAGAGAACCAGCCTGTTCTGTGTGAAGTGTGGTTTTGCGAATGAAAACGAACTCGATAGTCAAGTAACCTTGTAAAACCCAATTTGGCAGATTCCGAAAAAAAACTGAAAAGTGTTCCATACATTGTGAGCGTTACACGGGACGGTAACCTTTAAAGACATAACTGTGAGCTAATGTTTTGGGGGGAAGGGGGGTCGAGCAGACTACTACTACGTACCCAGAGGAGCGCGTCCAGGAAACTATTACATTCACGTCACACGGCTTCCCCGGACGCTACCAAAAACCCACACGTGTAGGTCAGTCTCTTCTTTCAGGACACTCGCATGTCAATTTCGTAACAATCAGGTGCACAGACCCCTAAGAATAAAAATAAATGCCCCCCTTCTCCCTCGAAGTCCACATCCAGGTCTGGAGTGGAAAAAAGGTGCCACTTCAGAGCTCGCAGGGCTGGGGGTAGGAGGCAACTCGAGCGCAGGCTCAAGGTCCCATGCTAGGCCCAGCGAGCAACGGGATTATGCAACCTGACTTTGCTGCATTTACAGGATTAACAGCGCATAAACCTCCCACATGTCAGACGAACTGTTTGACTGTTTTCGGTAAGTATGATGACGAATATCAAAAGGATGTCAAAAACTACATGCTTCTTTTTTTACGTCAGACTTCCCATTCACTCTCACTTCAGAGGTCCTGACGGCTGTCGCTGAATTGAGAAAGCTCCCGGTGGGGTTACAACATGCGTTCCCGCAATCGCGGCGTTTCCAAAACCTTTCACTGCAATACAGTCGCATACAGCGAGTTAATATTCAACGACTAACAGTAATCATTTATCGACATCCACGTACCGAACAGCACAACTACAATCACCTATTATCAACAGGTGGGAGGATAGTATGTTGGGTCAGTAATAATTTACTCCATTCGAGCAAATACTAAAATCGTTATCACCCTGATTACAACATATCTCAGTACAAAATGTAGGGCTGAAATATCTTAAATACTTCCTACCGAGTTCCTGCCCGTAAAGCTTGCTTTCAGTTTTTATTTCCCCTTCAAAGAACTCAAAAAGTAGTAAATTGATTTTGGTGTTCTTGAAACACAACTATGAAACTCACCACTGTTCAGCAAGACACAGACCTTGCATGAATATCCAGACTACTATATACTGCAGTTTGCAATGCAGTGACAGCAATCTGAACAATTTATAGCGAACACGCTGTACAGCTGTAACTCTGCGAACACTGACAACGTTGTCAACAGTTTCTTTTCGATTTTCCTCTTTTCTGGACGCCAGTGCGGCTTTGCGACACTACACCGGGATAAAGAGAGCCTTTCCATCTTAACGATGGCATAAAAGTTGGTTCGTTTACCTTGACGCAATCGATGGGATACATCAAGCAGTGTTCCATGATGCCGGCTACGGCCCCAGCCAACATGTGGGTACTGGTGGAGGCACCCTGCGGCAGACCCTCATACTCCGGCTCGGGGATCCCTGCGGCCTCCGGAGGGGCCTTCAGTTGCGCAGCCTGGAGTTCAAGCTCGCCTGCTCCGATGCGCGGCGACAGGCTCCCCACAATCCCTTCGGAGACGTCCCACAGCCTGCCGCCCAGCCACCGTATCTCGGCGCCGGCTGAAGCGCCCGCTACGGCGCCTTCCCCGCCAGGAGTGTCGGCTGACATCCGCCGTCCCCTCACAAACCCATCCGCTTCCATAAAGAACAGGATGAAAAGTCTTTAATGTTGAGTCCTGTTTTTTGAAGAGTCCGTATTTTGAGTAATATTTTACGGTTTCATTCCCCGGCCCATATATTTGCAGTACAAACACCCCCAGCCTCCCGCCTCCTGCAGCTCCCGGGGAGGCGAGATCTGCAAGCCTTTGGGCAAGCAGGCCGCAGCCGATGGGGGACCGCCCACAAGAGCCCTACTCCCTTTCCGACTGGCTCAGGAGGCAGTGACCGATAGGCCGCAGGCTGTGAGTCCCCCAACTGATTTGCTTAAGAGTCTGCCGCTCAAACACAAACTGCAACCGGTTATTGGCCCCTTTAACCTCCGTGTATTGCCAAATAAAACAGTAATACAGGGCTGTAGGAAAAAAAAAAACGGGGATAAAAGAGAGACGGGGAAGCTTTTTTCATGAAGTCTATTGGTTGAAATAAACGTCAATTCTCAAAGGCAGAAGCCGGCTCATTTAATATTTCTTTGAAAATGAGAGACGAAGAAAACAAAAATGACAGGAGTGACCTGTGAAATGGGTTGGGGAAAATTTAAATACAGACCAGTCATTGGTGGGACGGAAGGTTTTGTAACAATTTAGGGGTGAAGGCGAGCCTCTCACGTGCCTCTGAAGGTGCACTTTGGCAGCGCCGGTGTGGTTGTTCCAGTTTCTGTTTCCAAGGGCGAAAGGGAAGGTCGTGAAGAGCAGTGTGAGGCGCCCAAGACCTTGCAGTGAATAAGCCTGAGGTCGCCTTAGTGCGGACGGATCTCTGCTTCCTTCATCATTGGAAATAACCCAGATTCTGGATTTAGAAAGTGGATAATACCTTTTATCAGGTTCTGAAAATATTATCACAAGATATCCAATGAAGAAAATTTGTTTTTTTATAATATTTGTTAATTAAAAAATGACAAAATATTACAATTCAAAGCGGGAAAAAAAGAGCAACAGAGTGCCAGTTTAGCTCTACTGCCTCGTAGCTTTTTGATCCCGGGTTCAGAATTCTGGGCTGCTGCACTTTCTGTTGGAGTTTGTATATTCTCCCGAACTTTGCCTGGGTTATTTCCCTAGGTGTTTTGGTTTCCTCCAGCTATCCACAGACATCCTGAATGAAGCCATTGGAGTTGGTAACCCAGTCCTGTGTGTGTGTACTGAAAAGGGCCAGCCCCCTGTCCAGAGAGTGCCCTGCCTTGCGCCCCAAGTCTGCCAGGTTGGGCTCGGTCTGGCCCTGACCCACAGGATGAAGCAGCAGCACAAATTGGCTGGAAACATAAAAGAATGGAAAAATACTCCCAAAGAATCAATTGTTCGATACAAATATTTTAGAAATAACTGTTCACAGGCTTTTTGATCTTAACAGTGTAATTTTAATATGCAAATTTAAGGAAATACTCAATTGAAATGTAAGATGGAATGAGGTATCTTACAGGAAGCCAGATTCAATTAAGGATGAGTGCAATGCCCATTGCAGAATATAGAGCATGCCAAAGTTTCACATATGGGAAGCAGAGACCTTTTCCCTCTGTGGGTCCACTTACCATCATCCCCTGTTCATTGCTACATCTCTCCTTACTGTAATACTGGCATACCATCAAACACATAACACAAGCAGAAGTTATATTTTTAAGGAATTGAAAATAAAGACACCAAGTTTCAGTGACAGGTTACTGTGTTCCCCTTTCCTGTAGCAGAAGATCAGTTTATTTTATTCAGAGGTACCCAGCTATAGTGACATCAGTATTTAGGGTTTTGTAATCAAAGGTCAGTTTGAATACAAGAACTGTACATTCACTTCAAGCTCGGCATATGAAAGTTATAGCTATTAACCAGAGTAAAACTCCCTGAGTCCTATTTCTCAGTGGGCTAAATTTGTGAAATGCTAATCATCAAATTCAGTTTCTATAGCTTAGGCAAGTTATTTTCAATACAACAATAAGCACCCATATGCTTTTACTGCTTTTTTAATTTACAGCTTGTGACATATGAAGAAAAGGAAGTAGTGTAGTAGCTAATTACATAGCCAGTTTTACCACAGATTTAACTATGTGACCTTGTACTCTCTTTAATGGTCTGGGACAAAAAACAATTAAGAAGTTCACTTTGAAAGTAAATAATATGTCACATCTGTTCCACAAAAACAAATGCTTATACCTTTTCAGACTCATATCTGTTTCTGTTCCATCCTGATATCTCATACCCACCATTCCAAACACTGAACCAGTACATATATGTATGTTACTGGCATAGGTTTTTAAATCTATTTCCACAAGTGAGCCTGTTTTCATATGGGCTACAGTCACAAATATACTTGAATTTGTATGTATTGCAATTAGAACTACACTCTACAAAGGATAAAAAAACGTTCACTGAAAAAAACAGAACCATTACACTTAATTTTGGTTGAAAGTGAAGAGAAGCTGATGGTTACTGATGAAACTGGTCAGTGTGGCTAGCTGATAACTATAATGACAGAAAGAGATTTTACTGTTGTGCACAGACTCTGGACAGGAATAGTCAGAATTCCAATGCCTTATGAAGTGGTTCTAGAGGAAGAATCCTGATCTAGCTGAACTGTGAAATACAGTATGAGATTCTTCCTTTGGAGTGAAGGCATCTAAGAACAGAGAAGAAATTACATGCTAAAATAACACTGACTTATTTAGTAGGTTACCCTCGGGGCCTTAGAAAATATACAGTAACAATTCGATGACTTTGTTTCTCTCAGCACGCAAGTCCTGGCAGCTAATTGAGCTGTTACTTGAAAATAATTTAAGGTAAGCTGGCATCTTCAGGAGCCTTTGATCTTACAGATGTGTTGATGTGTACAGGATCTGTGGAAAACTGGATTTGACATAACATTGTTGAAGAAAATGCAGAAATGTAGGGATGTAATTAAGTAATTTCTATCATAAAGTCAGCTGTGTTCTTCAAAAGTATAAACAACTATTTAAAACCTTTCATTAATGTTATGTAATGGGGATATTTTAAGATTCTTAGACAATAGAAATGTGCCCCTAAAAAGCTGTGGTTTTCTAAAGATGATAATTTAAAGATTAAAGCTTGGTTGTTTACTAAAACGTTATTCTGGCAGGGACTGACTCTGCTAGCTCTGAGATGAAGAAATGTCAACGTTTATCTGGACTGAAATCAGATGTCTTTAATGACCTTGAGCCATAAGTCCTGCAGTGTACTAAAAGGTTTCCCCCAATTGCCTGTAATATTTTATATGTTTTATAAAACTTTTAAAAGATACTATTATATTAAAGACTGAAAACAATTTAACAATTAACTTACTTTCACACCTGGAGAAGGCTCCACAGCTGAAACATGTCTCTTTTCTTTTCCTTTCAGCATGGAATAAACCTTTACCTGTTCCTTCGCATCATTATCATCCATCATCCTCCTCTGCCTCCCTTCCTCCAGAACTTGAGACATGTGAGAAATCCTTCTTCTGATCGGTCTTGGAGATCAGATTCTGGCTAGATAATCTAGACACTTTTGTAAGGACGCATGCAAGTTTATTTTTTAGGTTGATTTTCTATACTGTAGTTCAGAATCCTCAGCTGAAATTTCTTTCTCCTGTGTTGGTCATGCATAAAACAGGGAAATTGGTTCCCATTCATTTGACATTAGTTTGTAAAATCACAGGAAGGGAGATGTGGGCCTGGATAATATCAATTTTTATAAAGATTCAGCATTTTCTGTCTTTGGCTTGTTCAAGGGGTTTCTCCAGTAGTAGCACTCTGGAGCACACCATTGTACATGTATCAGGTTTATTCCATGCTGAAAAGAGAAGAAAGAAAACACAACGTTTCGGCTGTGGAGCCTTCTTCGGGTGACACCTTTTACTAAGGTGTAAACCTACTACTTGTTCCTTTGCAGCCTACACTTGCTGACACAGCTACCCACCTGAACTATTGTAGATGTATATTATTATTGTATATTTGTATTCTTGTTAATCTATCACCAGAGCTGTCACGGAATAAAAAGAAAACAAATGTGTATAATATGTGGTTGTTTCCCGCCTGTCATTTTATAACAATCTGACACATGAAGCATGTAATTTGAAACTTTAACATCATTTTTTAAAAGCTTCAAATGCTTTGACAAAGTTAACTCTCTGGACTCAACGTTGAAACCTGCACCAGAACACACAAGTGAAAAAGACTTGAAAGTGCATTTAGAACACCTGCGTCTTCCTACAAGGTTTGTGGGACTTCAGAACAAAAGACCAAACTTCCCAGACAGGCTAAATGGCCTCCTCTCTATTGTAACTGTGCACAAGGGAAAAGAAGAAGAGGCAGGACCTAAGGGGATGTGGAGACGCACAGTGGAGTGGGAATTCAAGTCCAGGAAATTGGCCTGGGAAACAGCAGAAGTGCAGGTCCCTCGTGTGTCAGTGGTGCCACAATTGAGACTTCTTAAATTTTATCTTCAAGTATAATGTCTTGGAATGGCCTCCTAGCTGTTCACATCTTTTTGAAGGTAATGTTCTGATGCTGCTAAGGCAGATATCCAGCATGAATTCAAGCCATTCTAATAACATTGCATCTCTCAATGCTTTGTGTTTGCAACCTAAACAAACGTTTGGAGAGCACTAGGAAGGAATGGTGAATACTGGCCTGTCTCAGCACTACAAAACCCTCTATATGCTGGATGAGAAGTGTTTTGGAGGTGGCCTTCTCTGAAGAGGAGTGGCAGATAAGTTACAGAGAACAGCTTCCATTTAAGCATGTCCAAACAAAGCTACTCGATTCCCAGGGAGAAACAATATTTAATTTCAGTAGCCTTCATTTTAAATGGCAGCTTGTAATTATTTATTTTGTGGGACAAAATCATATTTTTACTACATAAACATTACAGTTCCTGAAATGCAACTTTCCTTTTAATGTATTGTAATTACAGCACTCGTATTTAACTCTCAGTTAGCAGATGCATAGCACATACCTATGAATCACTACTTTAACTCTGTCGTGTGACATCATTCTCATACCAGTTTACTACCAACATTCATCTTCATATTTTTTGAGACAGATAAGCTAATCTTTTCAGAGCTCTGCAGATTGGGCTTCACTTCACTGAGAAACAAAACTGAAATCTAGATTTTGAACTACAGAATCCCTTTCATTTAGGTGACATGGGACACACTTCATGCATATTTGCTATCGAGATAATACTGCACCAACATCAGGGCGGAGCTGTTATCTGCGGTTCATATCACAGTCAGATCTTCTCTGTGGCACTTAGATTGCCTGCATGGAACACAGAGGAAATACCACAACACGCAGTACTCTCAAGTGCTTCCTTAAGAGTTTGTTACTGTAGATAAATGTGTGTGATATATCACTGTCGCAGAAAAAAAAAAGTTTTTTGTTATAGATAAAAGTTTACTGCATATTGATAAAACCAATTTCTTTTTTAATAAAACATGGCGTGCCATATGACATTGTATTCTGTATATGGTCTGAAGAGTAATACAATAGTTTTAGATATTTTTTATGAATTCTTGTTTTTCAATTCTTATTGAGACAGATAAGCAACGACATTTTGAGGATTTTAAGCAATCTTTAGTAAGATGCAGATCAATTTCTGTTACAATTGTATATTACATTATTACTAACACCTGCCATAGATGCGATACAATTTTTGTATTCCTAGAGAAATAATACCTAACAATACTGATTTTATTTAGATTACGAATATTATGCACACCACAAAGCACTTGGAGGAAGGAAAGTACAGTGGTGAACAACAATAATCTACCATTATATCTGTTAAAAGAGCTTTTAAAGCTTCAATGTTTCAAATAAAAATGCACATTTTTACTGTATGTTTGGAACAAATACTCTAACATTTTCTAAATGATGCAAGAAAGCAGATTGAAAATACTGTAAAATGTTGTAGCTGGAGAGTGTTCCAAGTTCCCTATTAGACTTGCACACAGTGTAGATTCTACCTGTTACAATATTGTTAATTTACATGACCTCCACAACTACCCTGCAACAAAAACAATAACAGGTCAGTACAAAAACAGGTCAGTAGGTGTTGTGGGCAGTCATTTGAAATGTAATCCTCAGCACCAATCAGCCTGTAAGGCGTATGAAATGTGCACCAATCAAAATGCAATACCACATGAAGTGTGCACCAATGAGAACACGACGCCTACATCGCTTTCAAGGTGCAAGGACTACGCATTAATAAAAACGTGGGTATTTAGATAGACGAAGAGCTAAAACTCTAGAAGTAAAAAAAACAACCTAATAACCCTAGTATTAAAGACAGGTGCTTAAATACACCCATAATCACATTTTAATAGTAAAGGAACACTTGTGAAATTAGCATTAGTATGTGCTCTGGCTGGACTGAGAGAGGAACTTGTCCTGGTCCCACAACTCCTGGCAGGAGTCCCGTACCTTGTGGTCAAGATGAGATTGAACCGCTGTTACAATCTTATCTTTTCTTCTGATGTTCTGTAGATTTCTTACAATACGTGACAGTCCGTAAATCCCTTCACATGTACAGACGTTCGGCTAAAAACAAGACTGATTGATTTTTCTAGCCTTTTTTTTGGTCATTTGCCATGGCTCCCATAATATAAACCAAACATTGATGTCTTGAAAAATAGAAAGTAAAAAAGTAAACATACTCTTACTTTAAGAACATAATTATATAATTGTCATCATGGTTATATGCATACTACATTATTTGTTCTTCTAGTAATATTTAGTATGAATTACTAATACTTAATCAATAATGTATTTGTGCAAAATTCTAAATAATGCTGGTAATGTTATGAATGAAACAAACGAATTCCTCCATCATCTAAGCACAACGCATTGGTTATTAGCACAAATGCAGCAAAGTGTAGCAATTTGCGACAGTACCTTCTGTTGCCTTGGTGACGTGGAAGCCGTATTCTGAGGAAGTAGTGGTTGGTGTCATGGGGTTCTTTCCGTTTAAAAAAAATGGTAAATGTTCATAATAAATATGAACATTTATATAAATATAATATAAATAGAAGTCTAAAATGATTTTCGAAATCCCATTTAGAAGAATACGCACACCAGCATTACCTCTGTAAACTAAAGCGTTTAATTTGGTAAGAAATATGTCTACGTATCTATATTACTTCCGTTCATTTCTAATAATGTACAGTTTGCTACTGGCTGGTTTAACTTTTAGGGACATATGACACTCGGAGCCAAATGTAATCATTTCAATAACGAGTAAGTATTTCTTTTTACAGACTGTAGCAGAAATAGTTTTTGAATGATGATCGCCGATGTTGAATACGTAACGTATAATCACGGTCTTTAAAACTGGACACCATGAAGAAACTCATTTCCTCTAATTGCTGGTATTTTTTTAAATACAGTTATAGTGTTACCTATCATCATTGTGGTGTGAAACAGAAAACGAGCTAAATCTCTGCAGTTTGTGTTTGCCGTGTTATTAAATAAAACAGTCGGGAATGTTCTAAAACTGGTAGATCGTAGTCGTTTTCAATTACTACTATAGCTATGGTTATTCAAAAACACCAACCCCAGAGGTCTCCTATGTGATAATGCCGCGGTTCTCCTGGTCCGTGTTTTCTGTTTCCGCTTGCCGGCGGCCGGGCGGTCGGCCCCTTTAACTGTGACCTGTGCTGTTCCGCCGCGCAGCCCGCGAGCCGCTGCAGCCACGTCGTGTCCGAGTATGCGGAGGTGACCGCGCGCGACCGCTCCCCGCCAGGACTCATGGCACGGTAATGGGCCCAGCGCTCTCGTCGCTTTCACAGCCTGGACAGGCACAGGAAAAGAATGTTAGGAAGGGTTGAGCTTTTCGGCTTTCTCACAAACTAGAGGTGCTGAATTTGTTTCAAAGTTGTTAACCTTACTGCGGGTTCATTACCCTCTGTGTAGTGCAACACACCGTGGTTGAATATTTGGTCATATACCATATGTTTAGGGAATATGTGTTTAATAGGTCATACTGATATTACTTGGTTTAATAAAGATCCGGTTGTATAATCTTTCAATCTTTTAACAGTTGTTTTGGGGTTTTTTTTGGACAGTGTATTGTATAGGAAAACAGTTTGAGTCTCACACGCAGCGTTCCTTGATGAAGTGTTTGTTTTGCAGGCTCAGTTTCTCCTGCCTCCTGCCGGCTTCCTGGCACTTCAGCGTGTCCCTCTTCTCCCTCGGAGTCTCACTCCGGCAGTGCCTCCTCTTCCTGGCCTGCTTCCTGCTCGTCTTCCTGGCCATGCTGCACATGGAGCACTGGAGATCTGGGCACCGAGCGGGCCAGCACGACAAGTCAGTGTGAGACGATGGAGAACCGCAGAGTGGAGGATGTTAGCTGCCATGTGTACATGCGCGTTAGAAGTCTTATTTGCGACAGTGTCTTGGGACAGACACACTATGACAGACAAAACCACTCAATGTAGACGGTGCATTACAAAATGGTACATAATAAATGTACTTAAGTCATTGACAGACTTGTGAAAGGCTCAGTCAGTACTGATGTGTGCAACAGTCTATATATATGTAAATATAAGGTAGCTGGACATTTTAGTGATGAAACCAAGGATGAGAGTAGAGTTTATCAATGTTATGCGTTTTTTATTGATTAAAATAGTGAGGGTCAACTTTAGACATCGTTTTACTGTTCTCCTTCTGATTGGTATTTTTTTTTCTTTGATATGTAGGATTTTAGTGTCTGTGACTTGTAGTTTATGTTATCTTACCTTCTCATTCCTTGTAAAACGAGACAGCTTGCCTTATTGCTCTTAAACTCTATTGAAAACACATATGAAAACAACATTTTCAGTCTTGTCTCAACTTGCACCCAGTGATGAAAGGAACCTTCTTTAAGAACCTGAAACTGTACTGCTGTGAGTTTCTCAAAGCACTGTACAGTAATACACATAACAGAAGCACAAATAATGTGGGGAAGAAGGCACATCAAACTGAATTTGTGAAACCAAGATTAAAAGGTTTTGAGGCCAGTTGTGAAAATGTTGACAATCAGAGAGTGTCTGGATTGAGCAGTGAGGGCTACAAACACAGAGTAGTACACAAGTAAACAAGCAGGCTCTTCGGCATATTGTTTGGAGCCAGGTCTTAAGCAGAGTTCAATAGCCTGAACCAGACAATCTCAGATTAACATCTGGATTATATTCATGATTAAATCATTGAGATAATATGGAGCTATATCTTTCAGTGCCTTAACATGATCAAGCGAGCCTTAAAAGTTTACTCTACATTTCACCAGGATCCAGTCCAGTTTATAGGGGACTCAAATTGCTTGCTGTTTCAGAGTATTTTTTGTCAGAACACGCCACAGTATTCTGGATATGCTGAAGGATATTTTGTACGTTACAGGATACCAGAGAGAACAAGGCATTACAATATTCTAATTGGGATGAAATGAGTGCTTGTAACTATTTCAGCATTGGATACCATTCACCCTTAAAATGAAGCTGCTACAAATGCAGCTATTACTAAGGAAGTAAAAATAAAATTCACTACTCTGTTGATGTTTTAAGCCAAAGACAAGTCAAATATAAATTCTCCAAAAGACATATATTTTTTCAGGCCTTGATGTCATTCATTGTACTGGTTTTACAGTAGGAAACGTGCAGACTTTTAGTGCCCCCTGGTGGGAGTGTTAAGGAAGATCTCTGCATTAGGCTGTACTACCCAGTCTGTAGCTAATTATCTTATTTAATATCTAATTTTGAGAAGAAAAGACGTGAAACTTCTTGGCCCTCGTTGATCAATTAGCACTTAAGCATCCCAGTGCTCCATTATTGCCATTCCTTGAAGTTAGTTGGAAATTAACTGATTTGTTTAAAGAGGTTAATCGCGTTCCCTTCCGGAGCCTCTTTAGTTAATACAATTTGTCTCTATCACCAGTAATCGCTCTCGAGAAGAACGGTGTTAAATTTCTGCCGACGAAGGCAATGAAGTGTTAATTTTTGCTTACAAGAAGAAAATCCTCTGATCCTAATCAAGTTAAGGTCGATTTTGTTTTGTCCTGATGAGCTTCTTAAAGGAGATGCAAGCAGGCGCAAGAGAAGTACAGTCTTTCTTTTCTGACCTAATGCTTTTTAATCCACCCAGAGAGAGGTACGGGACACAGCTGTCGGGAAACTCAATCTCTCTAAAAGTGGGCTATTTCATTGTCGTCTTCTGGGACTGCTCATTCAAAGGAAGTTAAAGTGTACTGTTTCACAGCATAAGCAAAATGCAGCAAATTTATAAAGCCTGTGAATAATAGTTAAGCATAAAGAGTTGGTAATTTACTATCAATATCAATAGCCTGTTCAAGATCGTCCTATTACTCTGGCATAGTCTTCTGCACTGTCATAAATGATGTAATGATACACAATATTTACTGTTCATGGCAATTATAGATCATTCCAAGGCTGCAAGCTTTTGTGCTGTGGTATTATTAGGCTTCTTACTCTTTCTCATATGCTGAACAATTCAGAACCACTTCAGATAAATGTATTGCAAGTAAAGGATGATCTCCACTCCAAGTTGTTTTTTGCAGGCTATGGAGTAGGCAAAGAATCCTTCTTGCATCTTATTGGCCTAGGAACTACAATAGATTTCCATTCATTCTGTTTATGTTTAGGAGTTTTTAAAGGCGATCATTCTGCCCTTCTCACAGGTACCTGTCCATAGTTGAGACTATGGAGGCCACCGATGTCGCTAATCCCAGTCTGAATTTTGGGGTGGTGGTGGACTGTGGCAGCAGTGGCTCACGGGTCTTTGTCTATTACTGGCCCCCCCACAATGGAAACCCTCACTCACTACTTGACATCCGGCAGATGAGAGACCACAGCCGGACCCCTGTGGTCAAGAAAATCAAGCCAGGTCAGGAACAGCCCGGGGCAAAGCAGAATGCTACTCAAATAGCTGAACAGATCATGGATCAGAGGGAGGGCTGGGCTTTTGTCAGATCTCACTGACGATCTGGAACTAAAGCTTTTTTTAACAAGCTGCTTTGGACCTTTTTGCTCAATTCCAAGATCGAAATGGATCTGATTGTTGCATGAGCTGATGCAAACAGTGCGTCTTCTTTTGTTCTTAGGTATATCAACACTGGCCCTCACCCCTGACAAAGCCAGTGACTACCTCCAACCTCTCCTGAGCTTTGCAGCTGGACACATCCCCAGAAAGAAGCACAAGGAAACTCCTCTCTATATTCTTTGCACAGCTGGCATGAGGATGCTTCCTGAGAGGTAGGGCTGCACTCTTCAGTGTGTTGTTTCTTTCATGGAGTGCTCAGACGCAGTTATTTACTCCTCTGCTTGTCTGCAGGAAAGACCATTCCTGGCACTGTTTCCCAGCCCACAAGTTCTCATTGAGGTATTTGACACTTGAGGTTTATACCTCAGTCCTTTGTGGTTGTAATGCTTCCTACAACCAGTTGTGATCTGCATTTAAGTCCTGAAATTGCAAAGTAACTAAGTTATTTACCTGTTAATGGGCGCATCCCTGTTATGCTTAGTTTTTGTGTTTCTTTAGCATGTAGTGTACATCAATCTGTCCGTTTCAAGGGTCATTGCAATCTGGAGCCTATGCAGGAATTAAATAGCGGAAACATATGTGATATGAGAACATATGTGGCCCCCACAGACTCAGATACCTTTAATTATTGTATACAATGGGTTGTTATTAAGAAAGCACCTGGAGAGTACAGGGACATACAGTGTCTTGTTTTTCCAGTCCACAAAGAATAACTGCTTCACTGCTCAAGCTTACCCACCACGTGACAGAATCCACGCAACACTCACAACAGACAATACGTCACATCTCGCAATGCAAAGCAAAGCAAGTGGCAAATTCCACTGGGCGCTACACATGCAACCCCTCTGGTCAGGTCGTTGCAGCCCTGTGGAGAAAGAGACGATTTTGAATACCGGATCAAACCCAGCACTCTCAACTCTGGGAGGTGGGAGGAAGCCCATGTGAACACAGCACCCAGTGAAGCCGAGTTTAACTCAGTCTTGTTGTTGTCTCTGCCAGCCAGCAGGAGGCGATCCTCGAGGACCTGATCACCGATGTACCAGTTGCATTTGATTTCCTGTTTTCAAGCTCACATGCAGAGGTCATCTCTGGGAAACAAGAAGGTAGGGGGGTCTGGGGGCTGAGAGCGGTCACAGTGCCACTAACTGCTGCGTGATTTTATGCTAAAGGCTTGCATTGCTTTTTCTGCAGGGGTGTATGCATGGATTGGTATTAACTTTGTGCTTGGCCGCTTTGACCATGCAGAAGAGGGTGAGTAAAAACGCTTGTCATTAACTTTATATTCTGTTTTCTTTTGCAAATCGTTTGCACCAATTATCCTTTTTCTTTCATTCAGTTATGGTCACTTTTTAGTCTTTTAAACTAACAGCATGAATGTGTTTGATTTAACTATCTGATGTACAATACAAAGATAGAAAAACAGTCGTAAAATTTCTACGAAAAAATTCTTTCACATTTTTTAACAATAAAGATGTGTTTATGCTCCACAGCAAGGGGAGGAAAATGCAGCTGTAAGTGACTAACATTGTAAAGAAGGCGAGCCTTCATATAGCCAGATGAGATTTCAAAGCTTACAGCTTTGCAAATTGACATTAGACCGTGTGGAAGTAATGTAGTGTGCCCGTCTCTTTTAGGAGAGGATGCTGTGGTTAAAGTGTCACCAGGAACCCAAAACCAGCAACCAATCAGCCGGAAGCGCACAGTAGGCATAATTGACATGGGTGGGGCCTCTCTGCAGATAGCTTACGAGGTGCCCAGTGCGATCACCTTTACTTCACCTGAGCAGGTAACAGCACTTCAATAAATGAAGATGTGGGTTTTTCTGTGAAAGCAGGAACAAAAAAACTGTGTAAGAATGATGTCCTCTTGTAGTCTCCCAGACTCTGGACAGACTCCAGGGCAGCAATATCTTTTTTTGTAACATTTTGTCTTCTGGAATTTCCCCTGCAGAGTCTGAAATGTTTGCTAATCCCACTGTATTGGTGTAATCGGCAATTATAACTATTTTATTAACTACACAAGAGTCTATATTGTTGGTATAAATGAGGAAGGGCAATCATCCTAATACAGGTCCCTGTGGTGCTCGTCTGATTTACTGTAGTATTCACCCTCCTATCTGTATTCTAACTTCTATTCATTTGCCAACTCATAAGACAAAAACTTACGTTAAATTAAATTATATCTATAATTAAATAATTTGTTGTTTAATGAGGATCATTACCAAAAGTTTTCTGAAAATAGATGTATGTATGTTTTGTTTGTCTCAAACCACATCGACATGTTAATTAAACAAGTGCCTTATAAATCCATGTCGACTCTCTGTAAGAATCCTGTTGCCATACCGATTATATTTAATTTTTATTGCTTGTAACATAAGATGAATTGGTCTATATTTAAATAACTCTAATGTCTTTACTGAAATATTATGACTGCAAGTGCCATCTAATCATTGTCATCAGGAGGAGGCTGCAAAGAGTCTGCTGGCTGAGTTCAACCTGGGCTGTGATGTTGAACACACTCAGCATGTCTACCGTGTCTATGTCACCACATTCTTGGGCTTTGGAGGGAATATGGCTAGGCAACGCTACGAGGACCTCCTGGTCAACAGCAGCTACTCCAGGAGCAGGTAATAGTCTTTTTTTGCAGTGGAATTCCTCATTGGATTTCTATTATAGAAACCACAGATCTGCAACCCAGCTGTGCAGTGCTCTCACTTTGTGTTCCATGTTCCTGTTAACTACAGGCTTACGGGAGATCAGACTGGGATGAGTGTGTCCACGCCATATCCAGAGCCCTGCCTGCCAGTGGGGCTGACTGACTCTGTGCATAGGGGTGGGCAGACAGTGTTCCTGCGAGGTCATGGAGACTGGCTTAAGTGCCAGGAGGTTGTAAGGCCTTTCTTGGAGGAGTCCAATAACAACATCTCCCTTGCGGGGGTGTATCAGGCTCCCATCGACTTCCACAACAGCGAGTTTTATGGCTTCTCAGAGTTCTACTACTGCACAGAAGATTTACTGCGCATCGGTGGACTCTATGACAGCACCAAGTACACCAGGGCTGCTACGGTACCTGTCCTTCACCACTCCTGTTCACATCTCATATCAGTGGGGATACTACATAGATAGATAAGACCTTATTGATCCCAAAGGGAAAATGATTAAATCAGTATTCTGAGTCTTATGGTTTTTCCACTTGGGTGTCATAATTGCCATTGTTTCTTAAGACCATGAAATCTGCCAAAATGAATCACAAGTCATATTGTTGAATTCCTAAAGCAGTAGTCATTTACAGTATACATTAACAATATTGCTTTCAAAACGATTGTTTGTCCCATTATTCAAGCTAGTTTCTTTTAAGGCAGTATTACTGTAGGTTGATGCAGGTCTGTGGATATAACCATCTGCATGCAGGTCGATGAAATAAGCTCTTAGGAGCAGCAAAGCTGTGACATCACATTGCAGTGTAGATCAAGGGCTAGTCCTGCTCTCTTCTTAGTGTTCATGCTTTTATTCCAGCTGCATCCCAAGACATGTCATGTGGGAATGCTCAGATTTTGCTTTCATGTCTCCACTTCAAAGAATAATGTAAAAACAGGATGAAGAAACATATGCCTTTGTTTCTACATCTGCTGTTGAAAGACATGAAGAAGTGCTAAAATTTTGTTTTTTTCCATACAACACTAAAATAAAGGAGAACCCCAAAGAAATTAGTAAAGCACCATCAAAGGAAAGTTATAATTTGGCACTTTCTTGTTTCCTGTAGGATTACTGTGCCACCAAGTGGTCAATCTTAAAACAGAGATTTAAAAGCAGCCTCTACGCCCCACAGGCTGACCTCTCCAGACTGAAGTAAGTTCAGATGCTATCCACAGCACGTGAGCCTTGGATTTAGAATATTCATTTTGGTTTTGCTGTGAACTGCTGCCACCCAAAAGATTTTTAATTTTAATCGGGCATGGGCATTTATTCTGCCTATACCCGGTGTGCAGTCTTACAGTTTATTTCTGGAGGGAAATATAAGAGCTTTGCTTTCTCAATTGCTTTCCCTTTTAAAAAGATAGTTGCATGGTATCTATTACCTCCAGGTTCAGCAGATGTGTCAGGTTTCTGTCTTAAACAATTGTGGATGAAGAACCCATTTCACTTTAACAGAGTGTAGATTTACTTATTTCCTTCAGGGGACAACAGAAAGGGGCATGAAGGTTTTGGGAAATAGCTTTTAGTCACACATGGATTCCAATGCTGGCATTCCCAGATTGCCTCGTAGTTGTTGCTTACTTCTACATTTACGACTTGCCCAAATTCATAGTTTTGTCTAGCAATCACAGCTGTATCATTGTTTCTTTTACGATGGAGCAGTACTCTCAGAAATTCCTGAAGAATTTGCTTTAGTTATCACCTGTTTGAGCACAGATCACTGTCTTTTCTCAAAAGAAAATAGTAGTGCTTAGTTTTCTGAAAATAAGAAAATGTTGATTACTTTCTGTCCACCTTCAACTTGTAAGAGCTCGCCCACTTTTTCCAGCAGTTCCCCTCTGCATTCTTGTCCTTTTCACTTCTTCAGGTACCAGTGCTTTAAGTCTGCGTGGATGTATGAGGTGCTACACTCCGGTTTTAAATTCCCCAAGGATTACACCAGCCTGAAGACTGCACAGCTGGTCTACGACAAAGAGGTGCAGTGGACCCTAGGAGCTATTCTCTTTAAAACACGATTCCTGCCTCTCAGGTAAAGAGTCTTCCTTCTGCATTTCCTTAGCTTAGTCTTTTGAAGTGTCGATAGAATTTATTTTCGATTTGGCTTTTGTGTTTTCATCAAGTTGTTTGGGAAGGTCGGTCTGCAAGACGTTCTGTGTGTTTCTACTCCAGGGACCTGCAGCAGGAGGCGTTCCGGCCAAGTCATTCCAGCTGGCTACGCTTCTCCTTTGTTTACAACCATTACCTGTTTTTCGCTTGCATCCTGGTGGTGCTGCTGGCCATCTTCCTCTACATCCTGCGTCTGCGGCGCATCCACCAGCGAGAGCTGCGGCAGGCCGAGACTCTGGACCTGCTGTGGGTGGAGGAAGGGGAGCCTCTGACTGGCTGAGGAACCAGGGCACAAGGGGTCATGTCTTCTTAGGAGAGAGCAGCCCAGCACTGGCTCCCTGAGCTGGCACTGCTTTGACAGGACTGTGGCCATCTGCTGAATATGATATAAACGGAGTGGCCTCGTTGGAACAGGACGGGGGCAATGCACACATTTGGAAAATAATCCAGAAGCGATGAATGCCAAATACTGAATTTATTGATTCCAACTGCAGACATAGGGATCTCTGGTTGCACAAAGACTTAGATTTCTTTGTACCTCCTAGAGAAGGACAGAACCATTTGTTTTGTCCACTCTTTTACCTGCTGTTGTACAGGTGATAAACAAAATTCAGTTTATTAGATTTTAGTAGAGATTCATCACAGAATAACACCCAATATATTTATATGAATTATTTTTTTGAAAAATTATTAATATGAAGAAATCAATGTTTCAGGCAAACGAGGGAGATCACATTTTTCGAATCCAATGTGAATTTTAAAGACTGTCTTTCAGTGCAGTTTTATTTCAGATGTCAACTTCTGAACACATGACATTGTTTCCGTTTTATCCTTGCAGGCTTCTTTGACACCATTCAGATGTTTTTTTTTCTGGTCATTACTGTTTGATTATTTAAAATGTAAATTATGTTCTCATGTGTTGTCCTGCACGTAGTTGACACTTGTAAAATGTACAGTATTTTTTAATTCAAGGACCAAAGCCTGTGTGCAGTGATACAATGTAACTGGCACAGTAAAGAAAGTGCAGCTCAGCCTAGAAAGCACTGTGTACTGTGAACTGTAGCGAATGCAAGAATGCACAGCTTAACTGGCAGGGTTTGTAAGACAAGGATTGATCCTATGTCATGTCTTATGATCAGGATGTTTACTGATTAAAATAAAAAAAATTCTCATTTGCATTTTGGGATAAATACTGAAACAACGGCTAAGCTGAGAAATCCTACACAATGTTCTGAGAGTTTTCAGTATTGCACCACAGATGAGCTAAAGTCTTAAATGTACTGCGTTATGTTTGCGAAATGGAAAAAAAATCCCAGAGTTGTAAAAATATATTTATTAATACAGCAGCTGCTTATAAATATTAAAATATACATTATACAAGGTATACAGTACGCTCACAGAAAAAATATTAGGCTTCTATTTGCACGGCACTTTTTGTTTTTATAAATCAAAACGGGCACATACGTATGTTGACATCTGCCACATCAAAGTAAGGTTATGGATTTCACTGCTGAACAACACTGGATGTTTAGGAAACGTCCTAGTGGTTGGTTGCAGATTAATATAAAGCACTTTGTAAACTATTGCCGGAGTGGTGATATAAAGGTATAGTCAAGTACCCCTCCTTCAGTGGATTTTTTTCCAGTCTCGGTATACAGCACAATGTTTTTTGAGACCTGTGAAACCACCTTTAACCCAAATGTCTTTTACATGTTTAAACTTGGGGAAAAAAAAAAACTTGAGACTTTAGTCGCTTATTTTTTTTTTTAACAGCACCCTGGCTTAGATGGCATTCTCACTCCACACTTCTCCAATATTCATGGAGAGCACATAACCTTAAAACAAATACATATGCGATTGTGTCATGGTGGTATTGCAGTTTGGGAAACCAGTTGGCATAGCACAGCTGAATGTGCAAAGTGAGGAATACTGCAAATGGTTTTCATTCTTTTTCCATAGGGAAACAGGCTGTTATTAGCGCTAGCCATACCGTATATGTTTGTGGAGGAGACTGGTAGTGTAGGTGTGCAAACGGGCTTAAAGCTAGAATACAACTTTTAAGCACAGTTTACATACTAGGGGTGAGTGGACTATACACTTGACTAACCTTTAGCAAGCAGTGCAGAGTTTCCATTTTAGATACAAATGAAGATTGACATTTTCATTATAGGTGTACTTTTACAGAGACTGCAAACACTGGAATTTAATGCATGAAGCAGTGACACTAAGAATGGCTTGCTCATTTAAAGTGCAAATAGTAGTTACTCCCTCAAAATGGACAAGAAACTCACATTAGCAATTTTGCCATACTGATGGGAGAATTTTTCAAGCTGTTTTAGCAGTCGAATGAACCTTAAAGCAAAACACTTACCTCTGATAACATCATGCTAAAGGTTGTGATATCAGAAACAATAGTTAAAGAAAATAAGATATGTAACAATGTGTTCTTTTCATTAAGGTGCATATTACTGGATACACATAAGTTCACAGATTCATATCATGGTCCAAAATTCATTTTCCCCAACAGAGTTTGTCTTTCCTTTTATACATCATACATTAATATTGTCTATTGTCAGATTTAAACTCCATTCAGTCCTTTAACAGCTCAGCTATAGTGACATTACTTCAGTATTCAAAAAAGCAGAAATAAAAATAATAATTGATGTCAGAGTTCATTAACATTTCCATCGTTTGGTACAATTAGTATCTCAAAGAATTGTCTCAGTAGTACCAAGTTACTGAAAATGGCGTGCAAAGTGTACAAACACCTGTGAGAGCTGTATGTTACAATGACATACGAAGCAGCTTAAAAGTACAGTATAAGGAAAACAGGCATTCATATGAATTTGGGATGATCTTTGTTTTTCTCTAAAAGAATCAAATTCGATAAATATAATACTGTTTATTACTTATTCACATTTGGTTTTAAGATCCAACATAAGAAATAATGAAATAACTTCATTTTTAGAGACCCCAAGACTCTATGCAAAGGAGCTGAGAACATGCACTGGGCAGTGAGGGTAGTGGGCAATAACAGCAGAGTGTTTGGTGCTTTGAGACTAGATGTCATATGTATATATACACAATACAGTGTATAAATTAGCAGGTCCTTTTTTGTGAAGCATTTTAGTAGGATTTCTTGGCCCAAGATAAACCTGCGTGGGATCTTTTAATATTTTCTAATGACTAGAATATATTCTGGAAATTTGTTTGGTTTTATCATTGATTGTATCAAAGGCACAGAAATATACTCTTAATGATGTATTACTTTCAGCCCTTACACATGAGCCTGGATTCTAGAGAGATACCTACATACTCAGGTTTCACATTAAAAACCAAATGAAGTGCAAATTAATCTTCAGGAAATAACTAAGGCATAATCCCACAGCACTTTTTGATGCTGACCTTTTTATGGCACCTGCTTTGTGTGAATGTGGATACTCCATTTCATAGTGTATGGACTGTAAATGATTTGGAATTCTGCTTGATTAGGATCTGTAGAATTGTTAAATAATACTGCTCTTACAAAATATTTTAAAGTGATGACATGTTGAACATGAGAAAGTAGTCATTTAGATCACTGGAAATTTTTTCAACATTTCTTTTGAACAGTTTTGGATTAAAATCCAGCTTTTTAACTATATTTTACAATTGATGAAAATGTGCTAAATGTAGTGTTTGTTGGAGTATTCGTTCTTTAAAGTCTAAGTATGTCATCTGTACAGGTAATCCAGCCATTAATACTGAGCCTGACAGGCCAACCCTACACCTCCAGGTTATTGACTCATAAGGATCCAGTAGTTCACATCTTAAACTCTGATCAATTACTCCCTTTTACACAAACGTTACATCTTCCTTAAAGTTAAAAGCAAACACATGTCATAATACATTTCTGCATCTTATTAAATAAGCAGTCCTCACATTCTGTATTATCCTACAAAATTGTACATTGAGAAATAAATTTAGTAGCATCTGAACTTCAGTAGCACCAATTTATCTGCAAACAGCAATTCAACCGGGCTACAGACACTCACCTTGGTTCTAGCATCCTGTTCTTGTTTACTTCCTGTTGCACACACCACAAATTAAAAGCCCAAACTCATCACACACGTCTTGCAAGCAGTGAACACTGAGTTTTGAGGCATGATGGGATAGAAATGTTTAGATGGTGGGGGAAATGTACACACAAGAAACCTAGCAGCTAGCCCACAACAAACAGTGTCGGGAGAGCTAAAACAGCAATACCAAAGTCAATGAAACACAAACTGAAAGAAATCAGCAAGAGACTTGAGACTGCTACCGTATGGAGTTTTCAGAATCAACACCACTCCTTCGCCCCGCCTCCTCTCAAGTCAGAAAGTGCAAACGCGTGGAGCAGAGAAGCAGGCTCAGGGGTCAGTCTGTGCAGCCCCGTCGCTGCGATGCTCCAGCCAGCTGTCCCGTCGCACTGCACACCAGCATCCTCTCAACAAACTCTTTGGTCCGTCCTGCCACCTGTGGCCCTATCAAAACAATAGGGACGCATCTTAGTTGAGCTGTCCCTTCTCACACATCTGTGGCTTTTTATTTATTTTTTTTATACACTCGCTGGCCAAGTTGACACCTCCCTGCACACCAGCATGGAAATGGAAATAGAAAATACATCCCTAAATAGCAACATGATTTATGTCTGCCCCTCTCTTTTTGAGCATGTTTGAAAGACACAAATGGCATTACCAGGACCTTTTAAGAAGCTAATTCACAGCTTGAAAGTCAGACTACTTGTTTACACTGTGTTTCTGTTGGCTGAGATTCATACCCAAGGCATATCTGACCGCGAGTCATACCTGTGGATTCTTTCAGTATTTCCTCCAGCTTTTCAGTCATCCCCATCCCATCTGCGCCATCACTGTTTTCCACTCTTTGTCTTATCACCTCCTTGATACGCAGCAGTGCCGCCAGCAGGCTGTCTGCAGAGATCAACAGTAGCAGTAGACCTAATGACTCAATCTTCTCAGGGAAATGGCACACTCGTGTCACATGGGCCATCACAGCCTTCTGAGCCCAGAGCAAAACTGCAGGACCATCGCTCAGCAGCCAGGGGGATCCTGGATACAACACACTCAGAAGCATTCTGTTACTGGCTCGAGAAAGCCAATAGGAAACTGGGCTCAGCATGCACAAAGAGCTTTGCTCTACTGCAGGTGGCAGGCCTTCATTTTAAAGTTTTCATCATGTCAAGTTAACCATCCTCATTATATACTCATATATATCAGCTGGGTTTGGAGCTACAGTGTTGTCTACACACAAAGCAAATGAGGAGGTGCACACAAGCTTCTCCAATGAAGCCCATGCTTCAGGGAATAATCTGACAGCGAACTGCGTGCACCTAGGAAGTCACAGAGAGTGGTACTCTAAGAAAGCCCTGGCTAACTAATACCAACCGTACTCCCCCTGTGCCTGTGCAGGGGAATGCTGGTCACAGTCAGCTACTGACATGACCCAGGCTTGAATTTGTGACACCTTGACGATTGTGCTTAACCTTTGTTCAAGACACCCTGTTAAGGGTTAACAAATATGCAAACTTAAATTATGAGCTAAAGAAGTCAATTTTAAAGGGAAAAGAGAGGAGTACATAATTGCTACAAGCCAAGCACACCAGTACATTAGTCCACTATTATTCTTTCTGACTTGATAAAACACTAACCATACTCCTGGCTCAGCCCCCACAGCTTGATCTTGTTAGCTTCATGCTGTGCTTTCTTCTTTAAACGGCACGCCCTAAGACCACAGGAAAGGGAAACAGCTGAGATAAATGCAATCCTTCCGTCTGTCAAATTCAAATTACCTTTTTACACCCTCATTGTATCACGCATCCTTCTTTACTTTCACTCCCTCTAATCCTCATTATTCTGTGGATTTCCAGTATTCCATCACCTCTACCTGTTCTTCCAAGTTCACTTCCTATTTTTCTAGGTATACTAGTCTCAGATCCTTGTTTTTATGTTACATCTCCATCTCTCTCTTTTTTTTTTTACTTTCTTAATTCAATTTCTTTCTGGTAGTGCTCCTTCTGTGTTTGGAGAACATGTTATTTTAAGATATTATCCCTCAACCTGTACTACAGTCCACTTGGGAGATCTCTCCCTGACCTCTGTGTCTGTCCCTGTTACCTGGAGGCCAGCTTATTCTTCTCTTTGCGGGAACGGGCCCTGGCTGTCACAGGCAGGTCATTGACAGGCCGGATGTCCTCAATGGCTCTGTTCAGGTTGTGTAGTTGCTCTCCAATGCTGCACAATTTCTGTGGGTTAGGCGTCAGATCACTCGCATCGGTCTTACGAGCTTTTCGCAGACCCTTCCTTCCTGAAATGGGTTTTAAATACAATAAACAGACCTGCTGGATGAGGGGAAAAGATCAGGGCTCATTTCTCAACCTATAAACTAAAAATACCACTCTGGAAACCTTTGGCTTTTTTCAGCTCTTATTTACAAAGACTAATTAGAGTCAGAATGTTTATACTTTCATGTAAAGTACCTTTCTTACAGTATACAAAAAAAAACTTTAAAGTCGCCCAAATCTTCAATTAATCCTGCTTACAGGGTTGGGCACATTCAGTCTTCTTCAGTAGATTTCTTGTACAAATATGTATAAACCAATTAACACCTTGAGAGACAGAAAGGTTTTATTAAATAGACACAGAAGCCTCATTGATTGTGATAAGCAGTTAATGAGGACTGTTACAGTATTAAGAATGTTCCTGCGGTGCTGGTAGTGCTCTCTCACCAGAGGCTAAGGCTCCCTCTCTCTGGTACAGCGTGCTGGGCAGGGTGCTGGAGTTCCAGGAAGCGAAGGGCTCTCTTTGCTGTCTCTTATTAGCTGTCTCGTGCCCATGGCTGTACTCCCAAAAGCACCTGCGCTTCAGCGGTCTTTCAGCAAGGCTGCCGTCAAGGTCAGTGTCTGGAAATAGTAAAATCAAACCATTAACATCAGATAAACAGCAAACACAGAGCTGGGAACCAAAACAGAGTATACAGACACGTGTGTAAATCAAAACAGGAGTAAGTATATTTTAAATCCTAAGCATTTTAGTTTAAGAACATTCTTTGGGGAACAAATGAGTTTTTAATGCTGCATATCTAATACATAAAGTAAATAATGCTCTCTGTGGGACAGCAGAACTCACCAGACTCACTTCCTGAGGAGCTAGACTCTCCCTGCTCCCCGATCTCCTCCTCTTCCTCTCCATCCTCCTCCTCGTCTCCCGCCTCAGTGTCCGAGCCTTGGCTGGAGTCCGAATCCTGGTGTGCCTGTAGGGAATAGTTGTGCTCCTCGCTGCAGTGCTCGGAAATGGATTGTGGCAATGCAGTGGATTCCAGCCCCTGGCCTGTCTGCTTCCCTGCTGTGCTCCGATGTCCTGGCAGCTCTGGTTCTGCCTCTTCATTCAGTTCCTCCCCGGCCGCTTTCATTTTGCCAGTCGGGTGCCGAGCAGGATGGCCTTGTCCTTGCTGGCTCCCTGAGCTCAAGGCCTGCTCTGTTGACTCCTCTCTTCCTCTGATGTCATTCTTCCCGTCCGCCAGCACTCCCTCAATACTTCCTAGCTCTGCCTCCAGGCCGGCTTTGGTGCAGCAGGTAATGTCATCTAAAGCGGAGACATCCCAGCGTTCTGGGTGCAGCTCCTCACCGAACCCATCATCCACAAGGTCACTGAGGAGTTCGAATGGCCGTTTCCGGGGCATTGCGGGGGACCCCAACATCAGAACCACATGTTCAGGGCACTCCAGCTAGGGAAATAGGCAGATAAAGTACAAGCTTTTCAATTAAATGCGATTTAGTCTTAGTGAGATGATATTATCATCAGATGAGATGATAAAGTCTATATTAATGTTGCCTCTCTAATATAATACCAACAACACCAGAATGTGTATGCCTAACTGTTCTTGATGAATTCAATCAGCTGGATCAATTAAATGAATTGCAAGAGGGTTTTTCATAAAGACTTCAAAAGGCAAATACTGAAGAATTTTCTTAAATGTCTTTAATTCTTTAACTTTTACTTCTTTATAACAGACGTAAGTTTTCGACATTTTTAAATTCCAAGAGCAGGAGGTGTGAAACAAATGTGTATTGCCTAGAGAAGGTCTGGGCAGTACAATACGAGTGCTCACCTGCCCATGCTCTAATTTCCTACCCAGGAGCGAGGCTGCTAAGTGATCAGAAGTCAGATGGCATCTGTGGGTCCCGTATGCCTCACCAAATGCAGGTTCCATTCCATTAGTGCCTGGCTACAAAGACAGAGGATCTAAATCTTAATCACTCAAAATGATGAATGTTCACTAAGTGTGGATTTTAGGCATCTTAGGTACTGGTGAAAAAATTACTGCTGTCATGTACAATCAAAAAAAATCACAACTATTCAAACAGGTTAAAAAAAGGCAAATTAGATTTCCTTCAGGTGTTATCGAGTTGGTTCTGTGGCTGCGGGCCGGACAGATTCATCAGGTCCTACCTGTGGCATGTCCTGTAATGGGCACTGCCAGGTTGTCACGGGACAAGCTTGACGAGGGCAACACCGGTGATGGCTCTAGACATCCGAATGTCAAGGGCAGGAAATCAGGGGGGTTGAGTTGTACCTCACATCGCACGTCACATTTCACCAGTGCTACCAAAAAAGAAATGTGCATTGTAAGTTCATTTTAATGATCTCTTTAATGCTAAGCTACACAGCACAATTAAAGATTTCAAGTGTAGTAAATAGTGTTGATGTAAATTCTGCAGTGAAGTGGCTGAATTATTCATAATAGCTTGTTTATATTCCACATTGATACACACAAGAATTTGAAAGTGGATCTATCTGTTTGCAGACTGCATCCTTGTCCCAGATCCCCGAAATAGCTGCCTAATCACTTGTTTCCCTGTGTCGTAGAGTCTGGGCAAAATAACCTAAATCTGCAGGGTGGTGATGATTACGCATGAGACAGAGAGAGGAGGTAGTCAGGAGAAATTGGCAAAAACGTATTAGAATGTTCACACCACAGCTTCCCAATTCTGTATAAAGGGTTTATGCTGATGGGTTGAGAGCCATTTTAGGTTAGGACACTCAGAATTAAATGAACTGTTACAGTACATCATTGTGACAGTTTAACACTAGACAGAGGCTTTGTCATATACAGGCAGGAATGAAGTAACTGGAGGTCTTTATCATTAGAAAGGAAAGCAGGTATCTACAAATCATTCCATAAAAACAGCTCTGGGCGATGTGGGAGGAGAAAATGTACAGAAAATTATTTCTCTTGGTATATTCCCAGGCTTTTATTTACTATTTTTGATACAATGGAGACAACTTAACTGAGTGTCACCTTATCTCAAAGCGATACATTTCTGCTCTGAAGGTCAAGCTCTTAACCTTACTGAAATGTTCAGTCTGCAATACACAGAATGTGTTAAAAACAAAAACTCCGCTTTAAATGAGAAGAAACATTCCTTGGTTTTTATCATGGGAACTTCAGTGCTATGGCACAGAATGCAGTACATATGGGAATTCAGATCAGAAAGTGTTTTAAAACATCTTTGTCAGTGATCACGCTGAAAGAAAGATTTACAACACACATCAAAAAAAGCTGCTATTCCATCCCTAATTTGGGTAAGGGAGGAACATAAAGTTGCAAACGTGAGGAGACTAGTTGGCCCATACTATTTGTTAAGTAAATTTAATAGAAAAGTGTATCTAAAATCTTGTCCAGTCATTTTTGTTCACTTTGTGGTCCGCAGTGTAATAAGCTGCATATAGACCATTCAGTGCTTTACATGCAAGAAGGAGGCCAGTGCAATGGACACAGAACAGGAATTAGATACTCATGCAGTGTTCTTTTAGTTAACCGACGAGTCAAGTCACAAGTCTTTTAGTTCACCCACAAGACTGGACATTCTATCAGCGTCTATGAAACCACCACAGCACATAAGGTGTTATAGTAGTCTAAGCTTGAGGAAATTAAAAAATATCTTTGAGAAATAATAAATAAAATAAAGGTATGTGTCAATATTCCAGCATCAGACAGAGCAAGCGCCAAGCGAACAATGCCTTCCTTGTGACATTCCCAACGTGAGCTTCAAATGAAAACGTGGGGTCAGGAACAGCACAAAGGTTTCCAACTTCTGTCACAAAACTGTCAACATGGAAGTCATTAGTGTTAGAGGACTTGAACGGAGACTCTGCAGGGTGAATGTAATGTAAACTGAGAAAAACAAATACAGGATGTAAGTAAGCTGTGACTTGATGTTGGGAGCCTGCAAGAATGACCTCAGTCTTATCACTGTTTAGCCTAAGAACGTTTTGTTGCATCTGTGATATTAAGATACTGCATATCTATCAGGCAGACACCTGTAAAGAAACCGCAGTAGTTCTACAAGTCATTCCCGATTTACAAGATGTTAAATAGTTGTACTTTGTAAAAGGCGAAGGAAGGCTATTGTTAGTAGCTGGTGAAGGGTGTGGAAATGCAACAGTCGTAAGCCCAAGATGCATCTGGATCGTATCGTTACGTTTCAAATGACAAGTAAAAAATATTTTTTCCTTACTTAGGTCCTTAGCTGATTACAAATAGTAGATTTAGTCTTTTTTATGGAATGTTAAGACTGAACATTTTGTTTTTCCTTTCATCTAAAAGACCAAGCGTTTGTTCATGATTTCTTTGCATTGAATTTAAGACTTTTTCCACACAGCGTTTGTTTACAGTTTTATTTATTTTAGATCTGATGCTATATAAACATAAGCGACATACCAAGACAACAAACCATTTTTTTTTTGGAGTAGGAACAAGTAAAGCTTTATTCCACGCTGAAAAGAGAAAAAGGAAACAACGTTTTGGTTGTGGAGCCTTCTTCGGGTGTGAGCTGTCTGTCACCCAAGTGATGCTATTCCTCCTTGGGCTCAACTGGCACGTGCAGTGTTTATGGTCTTGAGCACCTCATCAAGTTGCCCTTGATTTAAGCAAACACTAATTTGTCCTAAATTAAGAGGTGGTATATATTACTGAAGCACATTAAATCAAAAACTTGCAAAATAAGAGAGTGTAAATGCAGAACTACCTGTATCTGATCCGAACTTCAGGTCCACCTAAGTGTCATCAGGCTAGCAGTGAGGCCGAAGTCCATGATGGTGAATGATGGGACATAGCAACATAAACGCCAAGTAGTCAAGGACCCATTACAGAACCCCGTGGAACACACTCAATTTACAAATTGGCTCCAAGGAAAGGAAATCCACACAGGATGCTATGAGTAACACATCATAAGTCCAGAAGGAGGAAAATATTTAGTGACCCAGAGTCAGAAGCCATGATCAAATCGTTATCTAAACAAGGACTTTTTCAGTAGTTTGTGTCAGCCTAAACCCAGATGGAAAAAGCTCAAAGAGCTCATTAGAGGCAGGGGGACACTGGCATTGAGCTGTCACCACCCATTTCAGAGATCTTGTAAGAAACTAGTAATTGAGAATAGGTCTGTAGTGGTTATGTATTTGAAGGTCCAGGCCAGGGTTATTTCACAGTTGCAAAACCAACAGACTTTAGGCTTACAGATACAAGTCCACATTTCAGGGCATCGTTGGTGATATCAGTAATGAATGGACAGACAACAGAGAAACCAGATATTATTGGCTGACCAGGAATAGAGGTCAAAGCCCAGGTAATAGGTCTTATTTTAGCCACCAACTCAGTCACATAAATAGCATCAACAGCAGTAAAATGAGAGAAGCTTAAACCTTTGAATGCAGGAAAGGACATAGTTGTCATGACGGCAGGAGGTGAGGTCAGCATCTAGTTATTAATATTATAGACGCTGTTGTGAAAGAACTGAATCAGTGTGTTACACTGCTCACACAGTGTGGAAGGAGGTGGATTAACTTGTTCATTTTACAGATGGTGGACAAAAGGACTGTAGGATTACTGTGACCCCCCTCAATAAGACTGGAACAAAACAAGGCTCTCGCCGCTTTATGGACATCCCTGAAAACCAGGGCCGGAAGATGAACAGTCAACCACACCCTCTTCGTGAAAGCTCAAGACACCAGCCTGCTGCTTTTATAGAGAGGAGTTTTATGTGTATTGGGCAAAAGAACAATGAAACGAAACTAGCCGACTTTTCACAGGAGTCAGTCTCGGAGAACTAGAATCCTCAAACAAAACAGACTGAGCTCCATAACTGGAGGTTTTGTGAGCTCTTTTGCTAAACTTGCTGAATTCACCAAATTCATTCTCTAGAAGGTCAGAGGTCGTTTACTATTAATAGGAGGTCGAAGTCTTAACAGGCTCAGCGAGACAGACTTGTGGTCAGAAATGCCCTGTTCAAATTCTTGTAGGCTGGAAATGTCCACACCACAAGAATTCACCAAATCTCATGCATGGCCACAGTTATGTGCTGGGAAACTGACATGCAGATTAAAACCACAACAATCCACAGTTTCTAAGAACCTGGCAGTAGCCAAGCAATCAGGAGGATCCACATAAGCACAGACGTTGCCTAGAAGTAAAAAAAGAACAAACCTTACTGGACAAAGCAGAGCTAGTAGTTCTGGAATCCTAGTTAGAAATTCTGCAGTAGGTTTAGGAGGCCAGAAACTCAGAAAACATTAGCAGAGGCCGAGATACCTTTGTATCAGAGTCCAAGCTTTTCAAAGATGTCAATCTGCACTGGATCTACATTAACACCACTATCTGAGCCAGAGACGGCCAACCCTGGTCCCGGAGTCCTATAAGTCACCCTTAATCCCCCGGTGTGTGGTAAAGGCATGCAACATTTAGTAAGCAACTCGGGAATGGTCAGTGGCTATTGTTAAGAGCTGCAGGGGTTTGGGATTTACATTTCCAATGACCTCCAGACTACCTTATGTCAGTGATCAAAACACTCAGAAACTGAGGATTTAAGAATTTCTCCTTGGGTTATGAATGGCTGGCCATATGAATCTGACTTTACATAAAACCATATGAATTTTCAAGTTTTTTTCTTAGGAAGTTAGTGGTAGATGTGTAAAGCAGTGTGGTAAATTCCTTCTGCAGATGAACAGCACTTTATTCTCGCACACATGCAACCTCATCCAACGTTTGCAGATACATTTTATTTTCTGTTTATGGAATAGTACAGTGAAGGACAACAAATGTACATTTATATATACATATATTTATAAGTCCCTTCATAGGTAATTATTTCTCCAATGTTTCATTTATTGTTTTATATACATTTGTAAATGTACGGTATCTTTGATATTTTGTTTTATAACTACATAATTTAGATTGTAAATATCCATCCATCCATTTTGTAACTGCTTCATCCAGTTCAGGGTCAGAGGGAAGCCAGAGCCCATCCTGGCAAGCGACAGGAGCAAAGCAGGACACACCCTGGAGGTGACGCCAGCCCATCACAGGACACGCACACAGACACACACACACTTGCACCAGGGCCAGTTATTCCAGAAGCCAATTCACCTACCAGTGTGTCTATGGACAGTGGAGGGAAACTCGAGCACCTGGAGGAAACCCATGCCAACAACATGCAAACTCCACACAGACAGCACTCTAGGTCCAGGATGAATCCAGGGCCCCAGTGGTGCGAGACAGCAATGCTAACCACTGTACCACTCTGCCAACCACTAATAAACACAAATGATCATTCTCTAGACATGTTCATGCAACAGTTAAGAAAGGGTTGTTTCAGATCCTTCCAACCGAATAACCAGGTTACATAAAGACGGAGCAGAAACCTCACATAAGTGTTCCTTGCTGGATTGTTGGTCAATAATTAACTGACCAACTAAGAGCTGGCTGAAGCCTTAAAGCTTTGTTATTTGATCATCATGGGGGTTGCATGTTAAAAAATCGTAACACTGGTAGAAATCGTTAACAAGAAGGCTCAGAAATACAGAGCATGCTGCAGTTGGGGAAGATAAAGCAGACAGGCAGGATCCAATACGATGGCCCTGGAGTGAATACTGATGCACTACCCAGAATTCTTCATGTAAAAAAAACAAACAATCATTTTCTATTCTCTCATAAATTAATGCCTGAATTCCGGTTTTAGTTTTGGATTGCGACATCATGTCCTTCGTTCAATGTGGTAAAATAGTCTCCTTGGTTCACTTCTTCTGCATCCTTTCGAATTTCAAATATTATCAAACTCATCACAATCTGCAGAAGAGAATTGGCTTCTTTAACCTGTCCATATACAGTATGACAATAAACCCCCTGAAATTACACCTGCTGCTCTGGGTTGCACTCTCTTAAGGCTATAACATATCTTGTGGTGTGATGACTAAAACACAATATTCCAAGTGAGGGCTTACAAGTACATTGCAAAGCCTAAGCATAAACTCCCCGGAATTAATTTCCACACTTTGTTATAGTTCTGTTTGCTTTTGTATTACATCGTCTTGAAGAGGACATGGATTCTACATAAACAACCTAACTTCTTTTCATGTATTTATGTACTTAGCTCACACTAAGCCATGAGTTACGTGTCCCAACTTGCTGCATGGATCACTTTAGATTACAAAACGTTTAATTTAATTTGTCAAGTGTCAGCCCAATGCCAGATAGTCTGCCATTGTACATTGCTGTTTTTTTTTTTTGTTTTTTGTTGTTGTTGCATTTAAGGTTGTATTGTGTTTGTATGTCCCGATGGTTGAGGTGGTGTTTGCTTTCTCTATGCACTATGCACTATGGAGAACGAGAAAGAGGTAGCTTCTACTTATTCGAACACCGGCAAATATCACGTCACCATTTATCCAGTTAACTGGGAGGCTTTGCGCATCTTCCTTGTAACTATAGAAACCCGCTCACACCTTTTATCTAACATAAAAATGAAACACACACCGAAACGGAAATAACGGAACACCTAATCTTAAAGCAACATCACTAATAATAAAAACAACATTGCAGCTCAGCGCTTCTTTGACCCACTAAAGAAACACACAAAAGAGACAGCGCCTTTATTATTATCATCATCATCATCATTATTATATAAAATAGAATAAAAGGCAGAATTATCCTCAGGAAAAGTTTAGATTCTAACGGATTTGATCTGTTGTGACCAATGCGAGTGTGTACTGTGCATCTCTAAATTTAAACAAACCTAGATCACTGTTCCAGTTTTTTCCCTAGGCTTCGTGTCTGGGTTGCTAAAATATTTCTAATCTTACAGCATCCTTTCCACAATTGTTGACGTGCAATATGCAAACCAGAATGCTTAATTCCCCAAGAAACTGGACCATGCTAGAACTGAAATGTCACTAAAAGTTCTTTTTAAAGGGAAAAATAATGCTGTCATCAAAACATTTAGGCGTCCAGTAACAGAATAAGTTCTTAGGTCACGCGTTCCATACCCTCGAGCTATACAAGCAGAAAAATAAACCGTCTGTTCCAGCTGAGTGATGTCCACGATTTGGAGCCGGCAGACTGGTCATTTCTAAAAATCCGGCCGCGACAGGAAGCCTTTATATCGAGCTATTTGTATTGCCTGGGCTACTGTTTCTCTGTATGACCCGCTCTGTATCGTTCAGCACTTAATATATGTGCTCCCATAAAAAATACTATGAGTTGAGTAGGAAAGAGACTCCTGCTCCCATATTTCCCCTCACCTGTCTTTAAACTGAGACAGCAGGAAAGAAGTTACATTTTGGTTTAACAAAGTAACACTCACCTTTGATTGGCAAGTTCTTCTTCGCCACTTATTATGCGTGCAGCGTTTAACTTGGTTAATGATGATGAAAAACAAACTGCTGGCTGAAACTTCTCCAAATTAATAAGCTTCGAGAGTAGTTTGATTCCCTTTTAAAGACTATTCCAGGCAGAATAACTCAGCACATACGCATATACTAATGGACAAAATAAACCTCGACAGCTGCTTAATTCCAAATAATTCGTTTGATAAGAACCTTTTAAAGGAAACCGATACCCTGCTCTAACAAATTATTTATCCCGTATGAAGGAAGTTAGTTTCAAACAGCTGGTATTGAGCTGCTCCATGCAAAAAGATGGGGGAAGAGATAGACAAATATTAATTTAATAGAACGGTTATTTTTAAAATACTATGTATAGCGAGTTTAATATTATCTTTCAAAATATAAGCATTATTGTATTATTTTTTATCATCAATATAAAGTGTAATATCAGTGTTTATATTTTTAATATTTCCTATCCCAGTTAAATAGCCACACATAGCACCCCCCTACGGCAAACATGGTGTCGCCCTTATGACTCAGAAAGAGAGGTACACAAAAATACTTTTTGTTTCAGTGGAATAATAGCACTTTCTATGCTGTTATCCGATGCAGGGAGTGGGGATTTTCAGATGGAGTTCCACTAAACATTTTTGAACAGCAGCTGCAATTGTAAGGTGCTTAGTAAAAACGAAACGAGCACAGCGCCCCTGATGCAAAATGGAAACTATTTCAGCTGTAAACATTGCACTTGGTGAAAAGGGCGATTCAGTTCAGAGCACTTAACTTCTATGAGAACAGATAAGGCTGGGAACGAAGCGCATCGACCTGAAAAGGGGCTCGTGCGTCTTCTTTGTCTTTGATCTCCAAGGAATCCATGTTAACGCGTAACACTGTGTAAAAACATGTTTTAGTGCCATTAATTTTATTTAAATAATAAACATAGCGTTCCATTTAAAACCGACATATAAGAAAATAATAAGTAAATAACATCGTGTCTATATAGATGCTTGCAATTAAGTACAATTCTAATATGCACTGCCAAATTACTTGGCCTCCACTAACATGACACGCACCTTTTTTTTTTCTACAGAGCGACTTCAGAATAAAGGTATACAATTCCCATATAACATTAACGTTTAACAATCCCGTAAGAGAAGTGCTAAAATTAGCAGCAAATCCTGGAACAGAGTCCTTCACTGCTTAAAGGTGTCTCCATATTGTACAAGACAGCAACAAGCAATGACAGCATTCTTAGTACCAGGCAGTGGTCTTTACCACACAACCCACTCCACCAACACTGAACCAAAATACTCAAGGACAAGATAAAGAGAATACATTTCACATTTTTCCGATTTCTCTGGCACAGCAGGAAGTTATGTATTTCAACAGTGTAGCAAACTTGTATCAGTAACATGTAGAAATTGATCTCGTAACTTCCCAGGTAAAAGAGACAAGAGGAACAGCTCCTGAGGTCATTGTCTAATCTGGGTCAAAATTTAAGATAGACTAAGCATTTAAAGAAACATATTAGTTGAAACTGCAAGTGCAATCACAGTTATTGACAGAAAAATGAAAAGCCATTTTGCAGTAGGTGCACTGTGCACTGACCTGCCGAGGGTATTGAAAAGACATGAAAGAGGTCAGTTCTTTTAGCTGATTAACATTGTCACCAACAAAGCTGTACTGTACATCTGTGGCTCATGCTGTGCAGATGCTGTCTAGGGGGATGGTGTCCCCTTCTTCTCATACAGCCTGAACAACCCTGGACATGTTCAGTGGCCACTGAGTCCTAGATGCCCTACATTTTCCAGCTCATTCCACAAAAGTTGAGTGGGGCTCAAGACTGTTTAATAGGGCGTCTAGGGTCACAAACTGTGCCGGAAAGGCCTGTAATGATCAGTAGGGCAGGAGAGACCCAACACGAGCAGGATTGACGGCACAAACACAGAGGTTTGCTCCAGGCTCAGGGGTCAGGCGATGTCGGGGATGAGACCTATGCCCTCAGGACAGGGACGTGGGGTGACCTGGAACTAGGCGGGCCACGCGACATCCGTACCCTAATGCTGAGTGAGGAAAACTCGAGACACAGGGACTAAACAGAAAACGGAAACAAGAAACACCGGAAGGACATGAATAATCACACTGAGATCGGAACAGGAAAGAAGTGGAGCGCCCTCTAGGGGTTGGATGTACCACAGAAAGTACCACTCTGGAAATAAGCTGCACAGCACTGTAGGGAGGAAAAACCTCATTTAACTGTCAGGAAACCTCCAGGAGTCCACGGGTGAGAGCTACCCCCTCCTCCAGGGTTATACAATAAACTTTATTAACATGTGGTAGAGGGAGCCGGTAAAGACTCTCGTGGACGGTGACACAAACATCTTGCAAGAAAACTTCTCACACAAGCAGCCGGAGGTTGTGTGCTGTCTTCTTGGAATATCATCATATCAGGCCTCCACAAGTGCCCAGAAGAAGTGCAGAAAGTAGGATCCCAGGACTTGATTGAATTGTGCCATGTAGTCAGGCTGCTGTCAATCACTATGAGAGATTCAATCATTAGCCCAATGTGCTAGATGGGGTGAATGGGCTCCCCTCATTTGTAAACTTTCTTATGTTCAGAACTGTATGGACCAGACACACTTGCTCAGCCCATCACTTTAATCTCCCCATTGATCTAAGTAAGGTGCTGTGACTCATAGATTCAAGGTTAATTAAAGGACTATCATTGACTGTTACATTTTGACAGGTTAACATGCTGACTGTGGACCTCATTGGTCAGCCTCTAATGGATCATATTGGACCCATTCTGTTTTTCATTCTTGATTTTCACCTGCCTTGGCATTAACATGTTACGTCACCTCATCGCCCGTGCCCAATCGGCTCTCTTGCTCATGAGGTGATTTAGACCTTTCGTAGCAGTCAAGTGACTCACGTAATGTGGTCACACATTAATGGTCAATTAATCAAAATGATGCCAAAAATATTTAATCAATATCCAATATCTGTATATCTTATTAATCTAAAGATTAATATTTTAATATTCAATAATAAGATTTATTCAACGTCCGTATTTTAAACCCTCAATTGTTAGCTTTCTACAGAATGCCGCTCTGTACAGCCTCTGTGTTCTGTATGGACAAACGTTTTGTCTCAGTACTCCAACAGAAATGCATTGTAACTCACTTTGAACCCAGAATCATCTGTGCAGAGCAACCATCCTCTTTCATTCATGAATGTGAAAGCATCTAAACCAGGAGGGGTCACTAATCCAAATGCTTTTTTTCCCCTAAAAGAGACATAGCCAGAAAAGTAGATGCAATAGTTCTCCTGCTACTGATCTCAAAGTAATTGATCACAAATTTTTATAAAAAGGCAGAAATGTCAGGTTATAAAGTTTTCTTTGAATTGTATTTTTATTGTATTTTACGTTTTGCTGAACAGCACTTTAAAAATAGCACATTGCCTTGGTAAGATATCAAAGAAAACTACAGAGGAAACAGGACAATAATTATTTTTTGATGATGATCTTTTAAAATAAAGGGTCCAATCTAAATAATTTAATTGTAAAATGAAACTCACAGCTGCAGTTTAATTATTTTTGTCTCTTCCTAGTGTTGTTTATATGGGGATGACGTTTTTTTTGTAAAAAACATAAACCTGTCCTTTTATACATTTCTCTGTTTTTGTTTTTTTCCTTTAAAAGAGGGAACTGGCTCTGGGTTCCAGAGCACTGGGCCTCATAGAAAGCAGGTTGTGTAGAGCCTGTGTCTGAGGCCAGATCATCAGTTACCTTACTTTGAAAAAGGCTGAAAGGCTGCCATCGTGACCCGACTTTTTCTAGTCGACATGGGAACAAGGACGTGGCAGAGAGAGAGCTGAATGCCTTTTCCATTCAGATATCTTTTATTACTTGCTCCTTAAGATAATTATCAAAGTTTGCTGCCTGCCTGTATAGAAGGATAAGGTAAATGTAGTTGCAGTAGTTATTAAAATGATCAAATTCTTGAAGCCATTTCACTTGTCCAGTGAAATGTATCTTAAGTGCACTTATTCTACAATGTATTATTTCAGCAAGCGACACCCTATTCATGTACAGTAAGGGAACAAACAATTATATGCAACAACCAGACCTTTGAATTCAGTGAATTATATTCAAATATGCAGTGTGTGGCATTACTTTGCTAATTATCTACTATTCCAGTGGTCTCAATTGGTCTGTTTCCAGCATTACTGGTCATTCAGAAACACATTTTTCCGAACTTCTAGCTCCAGCTGCCAGAGAATCTAACATAATGGGTGTTACATAATGACTCTAGATAGGTCCTGGACTGTTTCCATCCCTGCAGCGCAACTGCGGTTAAATCCAGTACATGGCGTGCCTCTGCTGCCTGCAGAACAGGAATACTCAAAGTTCAATATTAATGTAACTTTTTTTATCAATGTCGTGTAGCTTATTATTGCAAATATTCATTTTAATATGGCAGTGTACATTCCTCCGTGTTCATAGTCACCTAAATGTGACATCATTAGTGCCTACTACTTTATGGAGTACAATTCTCTGGTCATTTTGCTCTGCTGTCCAATACTTCACCTTCTGTATTAAGCTTTTTAATGACTTAAATTGAACACTTTGGTCCTTTCTGTAACACGACTGCCTGCCTCCTGGCCATTCTTACCGAGATATGCTGTTCAGAAACTGGAGCTGCTTAATTAGGAACTCGGAAGTACTGTAAGGACACGACAGCTGTCTCAGCAGAAACAAGGTTTTTACTAAACACAGACAAATCTCTCCGACAATTCTAGCTGTGTTTCAATCCTAGGCAGACATTTTCTTCCTCAGCTTTTTTTTTTATTAGGCAGTGTTTAGAAACGGTGACAAAAAGTGACTCACCTGCCCACAGCAAACGCGAAGACCTCTACACAGTGCCTGGGATGGGGGTGGGGGTTATAGTCAGCTCTCTGAGGCATTTATTTGGCAAGGCAAGGACTCTGCACCCCAGCTTTCCTTTGGAGAGGAATTTTATTGGAATTTGAATTATTTATCTTTTTAAAATCAAGGTCACATGACTGAAAAACAATAGTTGGTCACGTGGGGGTCCTTCATCTTGTTTACAAACACAGGGCACATCATTTAAAGGCACAGCCTCCAGCCAGCACAGAGAGAACACACAGCACATAGCACTGTTTTATGATAATTGATGACTACATGTTTGCACATTAGCTCACAGAGTTAAATCTACATGCAAAAACAGGTAAGCAAGAATTTATTTTTCATTGTGTTAATCATGGTGTTGCTAACATACTATGACATAGCAAACCAACAACATTTGTTCACAGAGATGCAGGGTCTTTAAAATCTCTCCAACCTCCCATTACTTAATTTCCTGTTTAGATTTTAATCTCCATCAAGGTAAAACACTGTTTTCCTACAAATAACAGATTCCTCCAGACCAGCGGTTCCAAGTGTTTCATTTGCACTGTACTGTATGAGAGGTGGGGCTGTCTATCAAGCATGGGCAAGTCTAGCATGTATGAACAGGAAAATGTTCAAACACAGAAAACATCACATTACTAGCATATATACAGTGAATTACACATTTGATGATAGAAGTTGCATTTGTCAAAGTTCAGTCTTATATTTATGCATGCCATACAATACATCAATATGTGATGCTCAAGTCATTATATTCCCTGTCATTGCAGTTCCCACATGAAAAGCAATAAAATCAAAAGAAATATATGACAAGCAGGAGACTTAATTTCCCGTGACACAGGTTTTAGCGATGCAGTGAATTGTATCAAATCACCAACAATTTGGAACCAATTCCATTAATCCGAATTTATTTCACATTTATCATTCTAACATAAATTAAATATTAACATCTTTTTGTCAATGGATCAATTGCTCATTCCCGTGTGGCTAAGCTTAGTTCCAAGGTGCTCCTGAAAGCAACTGCATCATCAGTTTTAAACACATTTTATACGACAGTCACATAATTTCAAAATACAAGGAGTAAGAAGTAAAAGATTCTTAACCCAGGTTTTTCAAAGGACTTTCCCAGTAGGTGCTTTGTATCTCCCAGTCCAGACAAACTGCCATCTGTAATTAACACACACGGCTTGCAGTGGCATCCTCATTCTAGTTACTATTCCCTTCAAAGGTGGCAAGATGTGGGTTTAAGATTGTTTAGGCCTCTATAAAAGCAGTTTCACGCAGAGGTATCTGCTGAATAATAGTAGGACAGCCTGACTTTCCAATAGAGAACAAGGTCCACAGCATTAAACCTTTGTATGTCATGAATGGGGTTGAGGCATGTTCACTAAAGGATGCTATAGTATATCTCGCAAGTATGAAACACGAACTCCAGATTTTCTCAATGTTTGCTCTGTGAAGTGTCAGTTAAAGGAGTCTGCAGGTGTATTTTTGTCTAAATTCAATTTCAATGGCTGAGTTAAAGGGCTAAACTGCAGACAACCAATTTAGCAGTCAGAGAACAAAGCTCAGGAGAATAGGCACTGACTTGCAGCAGCTGGAATGTTGAGATTGACAGCAGTAGTGTGGCTCCTATAGACCTGTGTGGAATACAGTTTTGGGTGGGCAGACAGAACCCAGGATGGATAGTGTACTGGATGTACTGAAGCGAGATACTCAGGTCCCGTAGCCTTTAAGGCTCATTTGTCTTACCTTAAACATTATCCTAGAAATCCACATCAATAAATAAATAAAAAAAAACACAAATACAGTTCATCTACAGGCATAAATTAAATTAAGTTAAAAATAAATAATTGATCTAATACATTTTTATTATTACTATGCAATGTGGTCATTGAAAAGATGAGATAAACGTGTGCACAAACAACTATAAACGTTTACTTCATCTACACTTTACTACACTTAGACTTTACTGTTGACACTGTTATCTTCCCACTCCAGTGGAATGACTTGATAGAATTCTTGTGGGAAACCTTGACCTTTAACTTAGGATCCTGACATTTAAATTGCAGACCACTTCATTTTTAAGTCCTTGTATGTAATCATTTACTATCTGTATGGCTGTTTCTGGCAATGCACGGTATACAAGGTATACAGATCATAAAAAAGATGAGTATGTAGAAACAGTTGTTCTGCCTGGAATTTGAGGAATCACTGCAGAGAAGCCCAGTCTCCAGGTGGAATGATGAGCCTCTTGTCATCTTTGTTGGAGCCTGTGGTCATCTTTATGGCCGTTCCGGTTGTTATGGGTTCCACTTCTGCAACGTAGCTGTGGGAGATGCTGGGGTGAACGTCAAATTAAAACCGAGTCCAGTGGAATGGAAAGGGAAGAGCTGACCCCACATAGGCAATGTCATACTGCAAAAAATAGTAACATTAAGGAAGAACTGTTTGCAAATAGTTTCTCTTCACAATGAGGTTATTTAAGCTCATGTGGTGTACTGTATTATGTATTATTTTTACTACAGTGACTTAAAAACTAGTCATTTCAGTTGAAAAAATTAAGTAAACAAAAACTGTAAATTGTTTTCAATTGAGTCCCACAAGACCTGATATGACACTTCTGGCTGCCATGTCGCTATGACAACTCAGAACTGTAACCTTACATATCAGGTTTCTCGGGGTTGAGCCCATGTTAACAGGGCTAATTTGTGCTTTAGCACATCTATGACAGAAATGAGTGTCAAATAGCACTACATAAATACCCCCCAATAGCTAAAATCACCATACTTATAAAAGCTCGGTTTTAACCATCCAGGTGGATGCAACACATTGGTGGTGGAGGAGGGGAGTCCCCATTACCTGTAAAGCGCTTTGAGTGGAGTGTCCAGAAAAGCGCTATATAAGTGTAAGCAATTATTATTATTATTATTATTATTATTAACCTACCCAGTGCTTACTCCCAGTAGTACCGCAAGTACCAGATGGTTTCGTTTTTCAGCTGTGGTCCAAACAGAGGGTTTGCCTGGGCCAGGATCGCTATCAACCAGCTGCAAAACAGACAAACCCAAAGCAGCAGAGCAGAGTTTTTCAGTCTTTCCTCGGTCCATTTCGACAACACCGACACCTGTTTTTATATGTATTCGGTACAATAGGTTAAGAGCAAACGTGATACTATGTGCAACTAGACCTGAGATGATTGCTTCTAATCAGTCTGGATCTCCGCGACTCACAACTTTCCAGTACTATACGGCCACGAACCCCTTTTCTTGAGCCTTTCTAAATCATTCAGCGTCCCTGCCGTACATACTGTAGTATGGATATTTTCCAGTGGTTCAAATACAGTTGTGCAAGAAATCATGTTACATTTTAAAAACCATGCATTCATACTTACAATAGGTAGCAGCATACTGCCGTCAAGATCAACATTGTGATGACAACACTAGAAATGAAAAAGGATGAATAGTTTTCAGTGGAAAACATACAGGACAAGACACTGATCGGCCAGTGACAGCGTGTGAATCATCAATAGACACAATTCGCCCACACAAAGAGTGTGGTTTATTTTTAATTTTAAGAGCGCAATAATTCGGTAATACGGATTTGCTGCTTCGGTAGGGCCTCGATATAGAGGCAACGATGTTTAATCCCTTGAATCACAAAAAATAAATTGCAGTTTTATTTAACACATCATCAGACAAAACAGGCATTACAATACTAAGCTTAAGAGGTAAGGACAGCGGTATTAAGAAATACTGGTAAGACATCTGGCTATTTATTTAAAATAGACGTATTTACCCCCGGTTGGGCCCTTTCGGTACGAACCAGGGCGCTACACAGCCCACCAGCCCCCACAGGGTGGTGAAACAGATGATCGGCAAAGTCAGAGAATGTGAAACCATCGTTATACCACCTAAAACACCGAGAAATATTGCTTTCACGTCTATAAGTACTCTTTAAATCACACAATCTCGCAGCTCCGTTATCTCGACTCTCCTTCAAATCCTGTTGCTAGGCGGACTCATTGAAAACCACGCCTACGTACAAGTTGTGATTGGTGAAAAAATGTGATTGGTCTTTTCCAGGAGAAGATTTTATTTCTATTGGATACAAATCCTATGTCTCCCCGTTATTTCTCCTGGCAAACTGATGCATTTCCGGGGAATGTTTGTCAATTTCTGCCGACACTTATAAACGAAAACATCAATGATACCAAGTAAGAGTCAGAGTAAACTTGAACACACAAGGGCTTTTAATGAATTGTAGCGATTTCAAAAGAATTCCAGTTTTTTTTTCCGGAATAGGGGTAGCTTTCCACAATTTTAAATTCAAAGCTCTTTATCGGCATGACCGATCAATTACAGTGTTGTCAAAGCACATTCAATTAACACATTATCTACAGACATTTACACTACAAACATATTATTGGACATTTACTGGAACACATAAAACATTGTTGAGAGACACATGACAGGAGATCACGTCCTGTGAAGGCAGCTCCAGGTTGCCTCCGCCGCTCCCAGCAGAATTGACTGTTCTGATTCTGGCAGGGGTGGAAACTGAGGTTTTCCTTGATCTTGCCAAAACTACACCAACACGGGAACATACGAGAACTTAACCCTAACCCCCCCCCCCAAAAAAGGAGGGCATGTGGTCCATCTATTTCGTCTGATAGTAGGTACTGTACAGTAGATCTCAGTATTTCAGTGTCTTGGATGAAGCCAGGCTATCGGCTTCAACAACGTGACTTCTTTTCTCCTCAAAGGTATCATCACCTTGTCGTGGTGAGGAGGCTGGCGTGCTCAAAGGATCTGAAGAGCTATGCCGGCGGGAGCTGAAGCTGCTGGTAGGGAAACCCAAGCCGGACAGGGTCTTCAGTGATGGGCCAGGCGCAGAGTGGTACCCTGGCACTCCAGGGTATGAGGTTGATCATAGGGTTTACACCCCTATATCGTAAAACACTGTCTGTTGCGACACGCCAACGATTAGTCTCGAAAGCTAGCCGGCGAGGCAGTGGACCGGCTTCGGTTCGGGATGCCACCTCAGTAAGTACAGTAAGTAACGTGACTGTTTAGGTTGCTCCACACCCCCGCGTCCCTCTGTGTAAACACGTGTTTAATGTTTTCGATTTTCAATGTCCTTCCTTGTAGTTTACATTTTTTTTATCCCCAGGTCTGTTTCTCGCTGTTGATGCTGAAATAAATCTCTTTGTTGACTGTCATTATCTTTGAGGATTTTGAATTGTTGGATCAGGTCCTCTAGTAGTTTTCACTGTAAAAGATTAAACAAGATTCAAAGATTCAATTCCTCAAACGACAACACGTGCTGCTTCCCAGAAGAGTATTTTATGTTGGAGACGGATAGTATACTAACTAATGCAAATTGTAATATTTTGGGGTTTGGCGAGGACTGACACAGTGATTCAGACGCTCGTTTGAATGAAAAACGCGCTTTTATTTTTCGGACGAGCGTCCGGCACAGTAAGCACAACCACAGCGAGCAGAGAGAGGGAGGGAGCGAGAGGGAGAGAGAGGAAGAGAGAAAGCAGCACACTGGGGTCTATTCGGGTACAGTTACACGGGGATGGGATGGCAATTGGGTACAAGTATAAGAAAAGGGGTGCGGAACCAGGCATCTACACGAATCCGGACGATCTCACCAAACTGTACGCCCGTTTTGCAGTGGGTCAGCGGCTTTCCTCGTCCCCGCCCTGACTCCTGTCCCGCCCCTCGCCGCGTACCCCAGCCGGGCGCTCTTCGGCTGCAGCGCCAGGTGAAGGCGCAACAATATTGATGTGCCTTTTTCATGTTGAATGGCATATACAGTAGTTTGGTGTACGACGGAGAACTCTGTGACATGTGACGCAACGTAGATTTTCGTACTACAGTAGCATCTCCAAATCTAGCAAGCTCGACGTTCAAGAGGTGACAGCGGTTACAGTCGCTAAAAGACCTGGGTTCGAGCCAATACAGTGAGGCACGAAGTAGGGTGGGAGCGGCGAGGGCACAAGCCCTAGAACCCGAATCCGTTACAATAACAAAAGGACAGACAATGAAATATGTGCTTCCATAGTACCCGTATGGAATAGCGCACTGTGGGCTTTTTTTAAAAAAGTTTTTAAACACCAGAAATACAAAAACGGAGACAGAATATGAAATAAGATACAGAAATAGACACTTCACATCCAGAGGAATTTACAATTATAAAAGCTGAAACTTGTACTTTTTACATATTTCCATAGTATGTCCTTTTTTCTTAAAAGAGAAGCTCTTCTTAGCTCAGCTGGCAAGACCTGGGTTCGAGCCAATGCAGTGAGGCACGAACTAGGGTGGGAGCGGCGAGGGCACAAGCCCTAGAACCCGAATCCGTTACAATAACAAAAGGACACTGAAATATGGGATATTTCGAAGTCGCAAATGTAAGATACTAAGTCGGAATTCTGAGTTACTAAGTCGCAATTCTGAGATACCATAGCGCGTTTTTTTTACACTCTGGCAGAAACGGGCTTCCATACTCGCCTGAGCGAGGGAGTGTACAGTAACTTTAGCTCAGCTGTCAAGTTCCCTGGTGCGAGTGGAGACGGAGGCCAGGCGAGGGGAGAGACGTGCAGAGCTGTGCGGACCTGAAGTCAAAGACCTACACAAACGTGGCAATGTGGGGACCGCTTTCGAAAAAAGCAGCGCTTTTCGCCGGGCTACTCACCAGGTGCCGGCACACGGCAGTACTTAAATCCGAGTATGACGCTATAGTGATCGGAGGAGGTAAGTGTAATGGCGTGGGAGAGTTTCCGTTCTTCCTTATTGCTGTGCCTTGTCTTTTGAACATTAGTGGTGTAATCAAAGGGCATGTTAAGAAACATAAAAAAACATTTAGTTTTACAGGTCGCTTATAGAAGGATAGTTATTGATCAATACGTTTTATTAACCGTAGTTTGATTTAGACAACCTATTTTGCGTATGTTGAAAACGAAGTCTGCCATTCTGACAGGTTATCTGAAAGTACACCTGTACTATATATTGGCATGAGAAAGAAAATTATATTTCTTTAATATTTGCATCGATCAAAAATAGTTACAGTATGTTCTCTTTCTGCTACAACACGCATAACACTCTCCATCTACATGTCTACTAAAATACTCGTAGGCCTATACATTCGTATGGGAGCAGGTACTGTATAGGGCTCAGGAAAAGGGGTTAAACAACACATTTATTAACCGGAACCGGGGAAAGGTACACACACAGGGACAGGGATTACAGCGCTGCACCTACTGTACACCCTGTACACACATGTTAGAGAAATGTTTTAATCGTTTCAGAAAGACATGTTTCGACATGTGTTAAACAAAAAAAAAAGTGTTGAAATGTTTTTATTTACACATTTACACTTCAAATTGACTTCAGGTGTTTTTGAGAGAGAACGTTTATATGTATTAAAAGTAAAATGAATATATTAATACTACAAGTCGTTTATTTGGACAGTTTCACTTGACAGTGTAACCTGTGTGAAAAGGGAAATTCATGTGACTAAACTCGTACAGTATGCCCCGCTGGATAGTTTGTGTAATAATTTATTAGGCTTATGGCAAAAGTTTATTTCCAACTACAAGCCTGGGCATCGTGACCAAAGGACATGTTTTATTGTATTTTTTGGACTTTGGTGTGACCTGTAAAACAGCCACATAAAACATGGCATTCTGTGTTCTTGATATCCAATTGTGAAATGTGTACATTTTTACACTTAATATTTTCTGTGTCCGGTGAGGATACTAACCTGTAGTATTCAACGGCCAAGACAGAGTAACTTGTTGTGTGTGTTCTGCTGATTTAGTCTGGCTGAAACACCTGGCCGTGGTACAGAGATGAACTGTAAACACTGTAGGGGCATGTGGTTGAATGGCAATTTACCTCAGGTGGCAAAGTTAGGCCTCCCAGTGTCATGAGATTTGCCATTTACCAGTATAGTTCAGTCTGAGATCCACTTAAACGACATGCAACACCTACATCTGTGCATCACCCGCATCATCAACTCTCTTTATGGGTCGCGTCTGACCCGGTACAGACAAGCAGATTCATAAATTCCCAATCTGTTAATAATGAGCACAGTCTGTTGCACATTTAAAAATCTTGCAAGCTGAGTGTCACGGATGTCTAAAAACGGGACGAACTGTGGAGAGGCAGGAGAGCAATAATGACCCTTATGCATAGCAGCGGAACGGGAAAAAGGCTCGGGCTGGTTGGTGCAAAGAGTTCAGGAGTGCCGTATAGAAACCCATGCCCTCGGGTAGCAGCCGTGGGGCGACCTGGTGCTATGCGGGTCTCAAGACATCCGAACGTCAATGCTGAGTGCTGACAACTGAAAGAGCCAGAAATATATAGCCCCAGAGAGCGAGAAACACTGGAAGGACAGCCAATAACCGGAAATGAGAGACAGGACAGAGAAGGAGTGCCCTCTGGCTGCAGAGGGCATGACACTGAGCAGTGCTTTCTTGAGATGACCTAGCGTTCAGGCTGTCAGATATTTCTTGAAACTGACGAATCATGAAAGCAGAAGCATTACACCTGTCCTCAGATCCAGCACTGACTCCCTTCTGTTCTCTGTCATTTCAGGACACAATGGACTGGTAGCAGTAAGTAGACTTTTCAAA